TTAAGTTGATCTGTTATTGTTCAGTGCGTACTGTAATTTGATGTAATTTGATGTAATTTGATGTAATTTGTATCTCTTCCGTTGGCCTCCTACGCCCTCGCGCTGTTTCGGAGCTCTTGGTTTACTACAAATTTAATGAAAAATTGTTTCTTTCCGGGTGTGGGTAGAACTGTAACTGTAATTAGGCATTCAAGCACAGGATCCGTGGCCATCCGTGGGTGTTGAATGTGCGGAAACATATCATATATGGCACTCAAGAATAAAATCTTGAGATGAAAGCCGCCGACGCGCGAACGTCTGCAATCCTTTGTCACGCACAAATAACAATTGGAAAATATGCGCGCCAGCAAACGAAAACAACGGGAATTGGCTCACAACCTGTTGAAATTTTATGGCCAGGCGCGGCCCAGCGGAAGAACCCCATTATATATTCATTACATACAGTTGATAACTAGCAAAATCACCGCAACAAAAAAATAATCCATAAACAAGGTATCGCCGTCATGAGTGACGTCGCGTTTTTTTGCCTGCAACATTTCAAATCCTGAACGGTTTCTAATGTGGAGCATCTTCTCAAGCACCACTTGCCAAATGTTGTGGCGATTGTTGTATCGCCACTGCCGCTGGTAGATCCAATTCCACAAACCCCCATTCAACAGACTAGTCTTTGAATCCTGTGTATTTGTTGCTCGGGAATAAAACTTTTCAAGGTCTGGCCATTGCGTCTAACATTTCTGGAAAATTCCGGCTGTTCGTGTCTCACCTGAAAGAACACGACGTGGCGTAACATGAGGTTATTGCCCCACCCCACCCCACCCTACACCAGATGTATAGACACACAATATGTAAAAAATAACAAAAGTAAAGCGGCGTTTTCCTCGCGATAGCATAAACAACCCGGCGGGTGGGAAACCGCGCTAGCGGTTAAGCACGTTTTGGAGAAAAAAAAAAACTTTTCTGGCGCTGTGGCGCCGCACGCATTTTATGATGAACATTACCTTAAATTTTCCCGGGAAAAATTGAATGACTTTGAAGGAATGCCGTGGTATTTACAGGGTTTTGTGGTTGTGACGGGGTGGAACCCTTTTCCTTTTTCTTTCCTGGCTTGTCACGTGTCCAAGCGTTTGCTTAGGGCTTTGCCTGTGAGACTAAGCAAGTCAGTGGAATTTCCATGGTGCCATCGCCATTGCCAAATCCTTATTCCTTCAAGCAATTGAGGGTTGACAACACCATCTTTACGTGTGTTCCAAGACGATGATACCGCACCTTTGGAAATCTTCCACATTCCATCGATGCCACCGGTGTGAACCAGCAAGTTTCCCCATTTCTTTTTCTTGGTGATGCAGAAGATGCCCTTACTATGATTGCAAGCTTCATGAAGCAGCCCGTATTCAGAGGTCAGTTTAGGGTAGCATGGGGCACCGTCTGTCACCAAGATGCTTTTCTGGTTACATTTGTGGGTCGGTTGCACACATTGCAAAGCACCAGTGGCACGAATGCGCGAAGCACTCTCAGGTGGAGGCTTTCCAGACTTGGCAGCTGCTGCCACTCCCAAGTCATAAACCATGAATTTTCCTCTCAGATCTTCACTTGTGGGGCGTTGATACAAACCAAATAATTGCCAATAGTAATTGCGTCCATCTTCACCTCCAGGGATCCCAATGTTCTTTTGGATATTATATATTGTATAGCGGGGTATATATATATATATTAGACATGGGATATATCCTACACCTGGCGAGGACCTCTAGATATTATATATTGTATAGCGGGTTATATATATATATATTAGAAATGGGATATATCCTACACCTGGCGAGGACCTCATGATATTATATATTGTATAGCGGGGTATATATATATTAGACATGGGATATATCCTACACCTGGCGAGGACCTCATGATATTATATATTGTATAGCGGGGTATATATATATATATTAGACATGGGATATATCCTACACCTGGCGAGGACCTCTAGATATTATATATTGTATAGCGGGTTATATATATATATATATTAGAAATGGGATATATCCTACACCTGGCGAGGACCTCATGATATTATATATTGTATAGCGGGTTATATATATATATTAGAAATGGGATATATCCTACACCTGGCGAGGACCAAGTGTAGCATCCACGTATGTACGCAAGGTACATGGACGTTACCATCCCACCCCACCCCACCCAACCCATGACCAGTGACGTAGCAACAGCGTAGCATCCACGTATGTACGCAAGGTACATGGACGTTACCATCCCACCCCACCCCACCCAACCCAACCCCCATATTCAAAAATATGCACGACTACACGCGCGGTTTTCCACCCGCTAGCATAAACAAGGATCAAGGTGCAGAAATTGTTGCGAAAAAACAACACACAGATGCAAGAACAGTGCGATATGTGCGACTTTGTTTTGATTTGATCTTCCAGTTTCTTGTGGTTTTGATTGCCCTTGCCTTGGCAGGGGGCGGCTCTTATGAAATTCAGTCGGCACGTGGCAAATTGTTATTTCCTGGTTGTGTTTTGTTGGCCTGCAGTTTCGACCCCTGTTGACTAGCGGTAATTTCATGTTTTCCGATCGTGATTGTTGCTCCAGGAGCACGCTTGTGAGCGCGGCTCTTGCCAGAACCCCTGGGGAGGTATTGGGGTCATTTATGTATGTTTCTGACTGCCGTGCATTGAATGTCCGTCGCTTCGCATTTGAATTTCAAAGGAATGAGGAAATTAAAGCAACGACGCTGAAAAGTGTAGACACACATCCCACATGGCAGTGAATCAGAGAACGAAAGCCACTTGAGATCACGGCAGTTGGCCTCCAAAAACAAGAAACAACTGGAAATTGTGAGAAACAAAGTAACAATGTATTAAAAATTAAACATTATTAAACATTATCGTGTTTTGACATGCAAAATACTCTGTCCATCATACCAGCCATGAGATTGATCTGTTTTTAGATCAGTATAAATTTTGCACCATTCATTGAACCGTGGTCACATGAAATATACTGAAATGACCATTTGGAGTCCGTCCATCCTCTTGGTATCAAATGCAATTTTGCTATCAAAGATAAAGACCGAAATGACAAAATCCTGAAACTGATCGGAATACCTGAGGAGTTGTCTGCCATTCATTGCCATTCTACCGCGTCTACCACGCATGGGTCTGCAGTTTCACGGCAAACTGGAGGTTGGAGGTTTGCTTTCTAAGCGAGATGGCCCCAGGCATCTCGATATAGCATCGAAGCAAAGGTTTTCAAATAGGATCTTTTTCGCCCCGAATTTCTATGAATTTCTATGAATTTTTCACCCCCGGAGTTGAGACGCAACAAGATTATGAAGGAGGTGTTGGGCACGTTTCCAATTTCAACCTTAATGCATATATTTACAATATATACTGCATGATACTGTATGTGTGTTTTCGTTCTTCTTTGCTCTGTCGGCTATCGTTGTTGAAAAATTGACCCATTGCTGGATGCTCTCCCTCCTTTTTCTAAATGTTCATGCGGATTCACCAAAGCCAACCTCGCAGGATTGTCCTGGATCCCATGGAACAAGTGGAAACCTCGGGGCCCGGATTTTTTTCAGAAAACAAGGTTTCATTAGTTTCATTTGCTTCCAAAAAAACACCGCCCTTTTGAAACAAACATTGTTGAAATCAGAGATTATGAAATTTCGATCTTTCCTGGCAGATCTGGACCCCCAAACAAAGCTGTGAAAGGCTTTGGAACACCATAGGTTTGGCGCGGATTTTTTCGACTAGGGAAGTGAATGTGGTCGAAATATGTAAATGTGAGGAAGAAAACTGATTTCATGCAAGTAAGGGTGCAGCATACTCTCGTCACAGAGTGTCTGTTCATTCAAGTGAGTGAGTGAGTGAGTGAGTGAGTGAGTGAGTGAGAGAGTGAGGCCGCCAAGTGTCTTGATTGCCTCCACCACCTACAATCCGTTGTTTTCCTTCATTCTATCACATCACATTTAAATTTGATCATTTTGGTCTGATGTGGGAGAAATTCACATTTTTTGGCCTGATTTCAGATTCCGCTCGTCTCGCTCGCTTTCGTATTCGACGCCAACCGTTACCATTTTGGTTGATCCTGCCCCTGGGGTTGTGATTTGTTTCGTCCAAAGGCCACGAGCTCAACATAAAGCATCATAAAACTGAGAATTGTTAATTCATGCATTGACGGCAACATCAAGAAAGTACCGAATTTGACTCACACAAAATTAAATGGCTAAAATGGCGAAGGAAAAAACAGTGTCGACATCACATCCAAAGCCAACCCCTTCACCGCCCCCAAAACCTCGCCACCAACACCACCACAATCACAATCAGCACCACAGTGCTGTCACTGATGATGTTGCAAGGTTGCAAAGTTTAAATGTAGGTGATGCATGCCAAGAATGTGCAAATTAATCTTGAATCCTCCTGCCGAAGGAAAGATACTCGGTTCGTTTTGCCACTGCTCTACTTGGAAATGCTTCCAGAATCACCGCTTCAGAATACTAGGGTCATCCAAGTCAAAATGTTTAGCCTGAACCATCCACACAGTACTAACACTTTATGTTTGAGTACAGCATGAATGCTTCATTGTGTTTCCTTGCAAGCTGACTTGTACCTGATCCAGAGACCCCTCTGGAATGTCTGGCCGTCTGCCAACGAACTCTGCGGAGTGGGGGCTGTTTTTCACGCTACGCCGATACAGTGTATTTTTCGAGGCAAACGAGGAGTGCCAAACCTCACTGGTTGTGCCGATACCGAGCTATTGCCTTTGTCATGTTGCTTGTTTGTGCAGTCTGGCCTGCCTGGCGCAGAATTTTGGTGTACGCAAAGATGCTGCTGTTTGTTTTGATAGGATGCTGAGCAGATCTGAACCCGACATATAATATCCCAACTGTTCCCTCGGCACGCAGCAATCTTTCGTGCTTTTTCCGGAAAACCGCCTTGAAGTTTTCGTGCGTTTCTCAGCATCACTCCTACTACGGCTACGTCTCACGCAGCAGGCAGCCACATCGCAGGGCCCGTGGTTCCCACGGTGCCGTTCTGGAAAAGCCTTGAAGCAATGCACCAGCCGGCAGTAGAGTGGAACGACATGGAACGCCAGAAGAATGTTGGGCCAACATGCATTTATAATGCATTTATATTGTATAGATATGTATAGATATGTATAGATGCCTTTCATTGCCTTTCTCTGCATGTGTTCTTCATATGATTTCTACAAAAGGACACTACAGCTACAGCATTGGACAAAAGCCCCCCTGCTGATCGACAAAAGATTGTGCCTTACTACTGGCAAGCAGCAAGCTAACTCGTAGCAAAATGTGTTCACTTTGAGCGCTATATAGATAAAGATCAAGGAGGCTTGCATGATTCTGACGCTGGGTATTGAATGTTTTAGATTCACCCCTTCTACTGTGCTCACCAATGCACACCTTCTCCCCGTATCCCAAACGTTGTCAAGCGCCCCCAGCCTTCCTACGGGTCCACCCTATCTGCAAACAGATGCAAGCAGGAAACATTGCCATCAGCGCCACCATGGCGAGTCGCCCATTTGCGATTTCTGCTGCCAACTTGGTCTTTCTAACCTCTGGGTCCTGAGCGAACACGGCTCTCCGAGAGCTTTGTTCTTTTTTTTCCTTAGTGGTCTTTCATTTTTTCTCATGCATTCTCAGCTCCACCCAAAGAGTACTTTCAAAAAATGAATGCTCCGAAAGACGAATAAACGCCTCCTCGAAAGACATGTCAAATGTGCTTTCAATCCCACTCACAACATGAATTTGATGTGACTGAAGGTTCCTTGAACTCGATTGGGTCGAAGTTGAAGATGAAGTTCTTTCCCGCACCTGGGCAAAATCAAGCTGCGCAAACGCCAACTCGGCATTCCAAGTTCCAAAATACACAGATGGCATGGTCACTATGGGTCAGGGCTACTTGTCACATCTTGTCACACGACGACTGTTTCTGGCAGCACTTGGCTTCTTCAGTCATGATGAGGCGAAGCCAAGTGATGGTGCACAACGTCTCTTCAAGAGTCATGTGCTACTGTAGCCGTGGACCAATTCATGCTTTTACATGTAGAATCAGTGAGATCATTCAGCTTCATTTATCCATGTTTAATGCAAATCTAGTCTGAATATGTGATAAAATGTCATAATGTCTGAATCTTCTGAATTCAGCTGAGGTTCCAAGGAATCCGTAGCCTTCATAGTCTCCCGGAGCCCGCTTTGGGTCCTGTCGCCAGAAATAGCCCTCGTAGTGGCCCAAGAAGAGCACGATCTGCACCCATCCTTCCTTGGGCACGTCTTTTGCACAAAAATCCCACTGATGTTGTGTCAAAATCCTGGGAAAAGAATGGAAAAGCCCCAATGGCATCTGACTCGATCCGACCTGCTGCAAGGACCTAAGCAACTTTCAGCTGTATTCATTTCGAAGAAAATGGATCAAAATCGAAACCCACTTCCTAAAAAAGATTCCTTGTGAAAAGCCTACAACCTCCACCACATGAAGTGGACCTTGACATACCTTGACCGCCTTGACCTGAAATCAAGATATCTCAAGATATCTCAAGATATCTCATGATATCTCAAGATATCTCAAGACATCTCAAGATATCTCAAGATATCTCAAGGGCAACTTTCAACCTTTGCCATACTTTGCCATACTTTGCCCTGTGGGTATCTTTGGGTTGCGAGTCGTTACGAGTCAGCCCAGCTTCCAATGGAACCTTGGAGATTGCTGCAATACCATGGGGCATGTCCGCAAACCTCAACGACTCAACAGTGCAACAAGAAAGTCCAAAAGGATCCACCGAAGGAATGGCAGTACCTCTGTGACAAATGTCTAAGGATGTCCAAGGTTAAGCGGTTAAGCTACTCGAAGCTACTCGAATCTCCATGAATCTCCATGTTGGTGAAGTGGAGTGAAAGTAATGTCCAGAGCCTGCGAAATACTGTAAGCACTCTTGAGATCTCTTGAGCACTCTTATTGATTTTTCAGAAAGAAGTATGCCTATCCAGGCCTGCGCTAGCCTACCCTATGAATAGAAGTGTGCTATGCGACAGTAGCAACACTATGCGAGACTCACATAGCTGCTACAAAATGGCCTGACTGCCTCAGCAAAAAGATGTCGGGCATGTGTTCATCCTATCCCTTCACCCTGCAAAACATCACTCAAAGCTGCTGCAAGACTATTCTGAGACAAATAGCTTGATGCCCTTCTCCGGTGACAAATAGCCAGGCCATCTGAAGTACTCGGGCACAATGTAGCCAATGCAGGCCAACCTGTATACCCACGAAGCTCTTGTCTCACGCATCAAAAGTCAGTTAAGAAATCTAATTTGTTCAAAACAACATCTATATACAGGTACCAGGTACCGGGGAAGGGTTGTCAAACGACTTAGACTCAACATGAGTCTACTTTCATGTATTTTCTCTATTTGAAGCTTTGGGCTCCATTTGTGGTACTTTTGGGGAAGAGAAGGGGGTTCTGCTAAAACTATTCCCTGGCTGGGGCCGAGGCACATGCAGATCCTGCCATGCTTCAACTCCGCCGCTCTTCGGCGCTTGAAGGTGTCTACGTCGCCTTCAAAATACAGCAAGAAAAAGTTGAGACACCAGGACGTTGTGTTAAGAAAGCAAAATCCACCAAATCTTAATAAGCACTTGAAACATAGCCATCCATGACCATAACTACATAACCATCCATAAACGACAGGTTATCTAGTTATCCAACATCTTGCTAAAGCTGGAAAGGTGACACTTGCATCTGCCAAGCTACCATCTGCAGAAAGGCCGAGCGGATCCCAAAATCCGACTGGCGCTTGAACGCCCAACTCGCCCTCAAAGGCCCGCAAAGGAGAGTCGGTGTAAAGGGACCAGTCACCCCAAGCCTCTCCTGCAAACATCATCACGTCGTCTATCATCTTCTTATTCTACACTTTTTCTACTCTCATCGCATCCGCTGTCATCTTCTCACCCATGCCCATGCATGATATAGAGCCTTAGCAAAGTCCATCCTGTTTCCCCTTGCTATGGTTTCAAATCATGGGGCATCTCGTACGCTTGTTTAGCATCTGCGTTCTGCCTAACGGCCTAACGCACATTGGCTGTCTGTGAAGCAACGACAAGCAATATACGAAGTTCTTCGTCTTGGTTTCTCCCTGGCTGGCATTTGGTGGCATTATTTTTATCAGGTTGTTTATATACAAAATATGTTATACATAGGAAACTACATCGAGTTTTATCTGTCATGATGATTGCGTCTTTGGACTCTACACTCGCTACAGCTAGATTGTGCTGGTTCCCTGAGATCTAAAATCTATATCTTCCCTCTTCATGTCTCTCCATGTGTCTCCTGTCAAGCCATTTTGGAAGAACATGCCGATGATTGCCATCATCGCCAGTCTTCCGTTCGCCAGCTCGGCTGCCAATTTCTTCTGTTTCACCTGTCGGATTGCATCTCCAACATTGACCAAGCCCGCATGACTTGGAAACCAATGCAAGCCGACAAAGTCACTAAGTTGAGACGTTCATTTCTAATCATTTCTAAACGATTCTAGTTTCTAGATGTTTCTAGCCATTCGAGGTTTGGACTCATGAAAATTAGGGCCAATCGAGATCGAGTCTCTAAGTTTGACCCAACCATGGTAACCATGACCCAGGCTCCTCAGGGTCGTTGATCTTTACAAAGCCTCAGGTTTTCGTGGAGGCACTTAGAGATCATGAATGAAAAATAATGAAAACATATGATGGAAACATTAATATGGAAACCAGGTAGAAAACCACACGTAAACCACAAGTTAAAAGTCTTCCACAACTCTCCCACAAGTCGCATGGTTCCAAATCATTTGTCAGAGTCTGGTGGTTGCCAAGTTGTTGCTTCGTTTGGACTTATGTTGTCTTGTGTTTATGGACGTGTGCATCTGACTTACCAGGGAAGTTTCAGTGACCATTCATTGTGTGAGTAAGTCCTCAGATCTCAACCACCTCTAGATCACCTATTGGATCCAATTGGCGTCTCTAAGGGCAAGGCAGGAAACTCACTTAGACCCAACCGATTCGCATCACTTAGACCCAACACGCATCACTTAAATTAACAAATTCGCATCACTGAACCCACCACTCCTTTAATTTGGTAGGGTTTGCTTGACACAGGAAGTACACTGTTACGACCCCTTCAGGTTCGCTTAGCTTCACACAGGAAGTACACGAGTGCGACCTCTCTAGTTTTTTTTTGCTTCACACAAGAAGTACACAGGTACGACCCTTTTAGGTGTTCTTTGTTTCACACAGGAAGTACACAGGTACGACCCGTTTAGGTTTTCTTTGTTTCACACAGGAAGTACATAGGTACGACCCCTTTAGGGTTTCTTTGCTTCACACAAGAAGTAATAAGTACACAGGTACGACCCCTTTAGGTTTTCTTTGCTTCACACAGGAAGTACACAGGTGCGACCCATTTAGGGTTTCTTTGCTTCACACAAGAAGTACACAGGTACGACCCCTTTAGGGTTTCTTTGCTTCACACAAGAAGTACACATGTACGACCTTTTTGGGTTTTCTTTGCTCACACAAGAAGTACACAAGTGCGACCCCTTTAGGTTTTCTTTGTTTCACACAGGAAGTACACAGGTACGACCCCTTTAGGTTTTCTTTGCTTCACACAAGAAGTACACAGGTAGGACCCGTTTAGGTTTTCTTTGCTTCACACAAGAAGTACACAGGTACGACCTCTTTAGGTTTTCTTTGCTTCACACAAGAAGTACACAGGTACGTTTGCTTCACACAAGAAGTACACAGGTACGACCCGTTTAGGTTTTCTTTGCTCACACAGGAAGTACACAGGCACGACCCCTCTAAAATTTTTGTGGCTTCACACTGGAAGTACACAGGTACGACCCTTTTAAGGTTTCTTTGCTTCACACAGGAAGTAAACAGGTACGACCCCATTAGGCTTTCTTCGCTTCACACAGGAAGTACACAGGGACGACCCCTTTAGGTTTTCTTTGCTTCACGCAGGAAGTACACAGGTACGACCCCTTTAGGCCTTCTTTGCTTCACAGGAAGTACACGAATACGATCCCTTTAGGGTTTCTTTGCTTCACACAGGAAGTACACAGGTACGGCCCCTTTAGGGCTTCTTTGCTTCACAAGGGAAGAACACAGGCACGACCCCTTTAGGTTTTCTTTGCTTCACACAGGAAGTACACAGGTACCGCTTTTTAGGTTTTCTTTGCATGTTTGGTAATTGATGTCACTGATGTTGATGATGAAGAAGGAAAAGACGTGAAAGTGCTTGCTTTGATGACGATGAAACTGATGATGTAGAAGGAGAGGACATGAAAGTGATAATGATCATTAGGATGATGACAATGCTGCTGCATGATGATGATGATGATGATGATCATGATGATGGTGACGATGAAGATGATAATGAAGGTGATAATGTTGATGCTGATGATGTTGATGCTGCTGATGATGGTGCTGCTGATGATGATGGCGATGATGATGATGATGATGGTGATGATGATGATGATGATGATGATGATGATACCGATGATGATGATAATGCTGATGAACATATGGGCGATGATGATGATGATGGTGATGATGGTGATGATGATGATGATGATGATGATGATGATGCTGATGCTGATGATGATGATGATGATGATGATGATGATGATGATGATGATGATGGTAATGATGATGCTGATGATGATGATGATGCTTAATATAATGATGACGATGATGACGGTTATAATGATGATTACAATGATGATGATGCTAATTTTAATGATGATGATGATGATGAAGAAGGAGAATAAGGAGCTGATGATGATGATGATGATGATAATGATGGTGACGATGATGATGATGATGACGATGATGATGATGTTGATGCTGATGATGATGATGGTGCTGATGATGATGCTGATGCTGATGATCATGATGGTGATGCTAATGATGATGCTGCTGCTGATGATGATGATGCTGCTGATGATGATGCTGCTGATGATGATGATGATCATGGTGCTGATGATGATGCTGGTAATAATGATGACGATGATGATGATAATTAAAATGATGATGATGCTGATTATGATGGTGATGATGATGATGATGTTGCTGATGATGCTGATGATGATGATGATCATGACGACGACTATGATGATGATGGTGATGATGATGATGATGATGATGATCATGGTGCTGATGATGATGCTGGTAATAATGATGACGATGATGATGATAATTAAAATGATGATGATGCTGATTATGATGGTGATGATGATGATGATGTTGCTGATGATCCTGATGATGTTGATGCTGATGATGATGATGCTGATGATGATGATGATGATGATGATGCTGATGCTGATGATCATACTGACGATGATGGTGATGCTGATGATGATGATCATGATGACGATGAAGATGATGATAATGCTGATGATGATGATGATGATGATGATGATGATGATGTGGATGCTAATGATGAGATGCTGCTGATGATGATGCTGATGATGATGATGATGCTGAGGATGATGATCATGATGATGATGATGATGATGCTAATGATGATGATGCTGCTGATGATGGTGATCATGATGACGATGAAGATGGGTATGATGTTGATGCTGATGATGCTGATGATGATGATGGTGATGATCATGATGACGATGATGATGGTAATGATGATGCTGATGATGATGCTTAATATAATGATGACGATGATGACGGTTATAATGATGATTACAATGATGATGATGCTAATTTTAATGATGATGATGATGAAGAAGGAGAATAAGGAGCTGATGATGATGATGATGATGATAATGATGGTGACGATGATGATGATGATGATGATGACGATGATGATGATGTTGATGCTGATGATGATGATGGTGCTGATGCTGATGCTGATGATCATGATGGTGATGCTAATGATGATGCTGCTGCTGATGATGATGCTGCTGATGATGATGCTGCTGATGATGATGATGATCATGGTGCTGATGATGATGCTGGTAATAATGATGACGATGATGATGATAATTAAAATGATGATGATGCTGATTATGATGGTGATGATGATGATGATGTTGCTGATGATGCTGATGATGTTGATGCTGATGATGATGATGCTGATGATGATGATGATGATGATGCTGATGATCATACTGACGATGATGATGATGATGATGGTGATGATGATGATGATGATGATGCTGATGCTGATAATGATGATGATGATGATGATGATGATGATGATGATGATGATGATGATGATGATGATGATGATGATGATGATGATGCTAATGATGATGCTCATGATGATGATGATGATGATGATGATGATGATCATGATCATGATCATGATCATGATCATGATCATGATCATGATCATGACGACGAGGATGATGATGATGATGATGATGATGATTCCATGACGCGGGTTTAAGCGATACAAATTTGGAGGGTTTAAGCGATACCGCGACCGTCTCTGAGAGCTAAGGCGGGGCAAAGCTCAAGGCGAGGCGCCGTTTGGGATGCCCAAGAATCCTGCGTTCTCAAAGTCTCCTGGTGGGCGCTTGGGATCATCCACGTACTGAAAGAGCTCAACGGTGCCTGTGCTCTGGTGGGCAGAACAAATAGAACAAGCACGCTGTGTTTGGGCTCATCGCTTGAGCAGTTCCTGACACTTTTTTAACATCTTTCCATTCTACGAGTACATATACTATCTATAATAGCTATACTATCTACAGAGTGAAATAGCTATACTATCGTCTATTATCTAGACCTACCGAGCTACTCTTAGACGAATTCACAATGTCTATTCAATTTGGCCTGCACTCGGCATTGCACATCAAGAAGCCACAAGAACAAATCTCTACGCAGCCGTTGCCGATTGTTTCGCATTATGTACTGAAATCTGTGCTCTATTGCTGACGTGTGAAAACGCGGAGGCTGAAACTTCATCCACTTGGATCGCCAAATTCATACTCCACGCATCAACAGACATCTCCACTCCCCTGCCTGCGAATGCAACCATTTGAGCCCAGCCGGACAGTGGCACTTTCGAGAATGCGGCAAAACCTGTTGGCACATCCTGAGAGCGCTGAGAGTATTTCACGAAAAAAGCGCAGCCACCCATTTCAATGATATTCTACGACTACTAACTGAGTCGGGTGTGCTCGTCTGTGAGGATGCAGAGTTCCCCTTAAAGAGCCCCATGTTTGTGTTGAACAATATATATATATATAATTATATATGTAATATATCATTATATACGTATATAAATATATACAGATATATACAGTGTATACATATAGCTGCTACATCAAGACTTCTCGAGATACGAGTAGCATCAAGATCATCAAGTGTGCGGCCATCAGATATGACACGGTGACATGACATTGAAAATACATTCGCTGAATTGAAGGACTCCCATGATCCATTTCAATGCAGCATCTCGACGGCCCTGTTTGGCCTTGTGATTTTGGTCCAACGTCCAATCATGTCAAATCATGTCAAATCCATGCAATTCATTGCGACTCCAGCAACTCCATATTCAAGTGATTGAAGTGAAAGTATGTGAAAGTGGCATTGAAGTCAAGATGCGCTGAACTTCAGGCCAAGGGATGGAGACAAATCTCCTGGCCAGCGGTAGTACTCAGGAACGATGTAGCCAAGGCAAGCGAACATGGCCACCTAGGCGGGATGTTCTCTTCAAACTTGTCAAGCGGAATGACATCAGAAAAGTCTGAGACATCGGTGTTGGTTCATAAATTGGTTCATGCCCAGCTTGGTTCGGTGGTTCATGCATGTTCTTAGTCGCTGTGTTGAATGGGAAACGGCTCTTATGTGCAGCCCGCAGCACACGTCCGTGCTTCAGCTCCACATAGCGGCGACGGCGGAAGGAGGCCGCATCGTCGCCTGAAATTGAGGTGTGCCCTCTGCCACGAGCTGAACACGAGTTGAATACATGCCATCTATTGCCCTGTCTCGTGCGATACATTGTGACATGATTGCTGCGACTTACGACTGGGTGAAAAGGATTGCTTGTGATCATTCTGGCACGTTGATATTCTTCGACTGGTTGCTTGCTTTTCTATGGCTATGTACAATGTTTTTTTTAATGATTATTTATGCATGTCTTCTGATGTCGAATCTACCTTGCACAAACCCAATGTGCCCTGTGGATCCAACACCCCAGTGCTTACTGATGCAGCAGGTGCCTTTGGTGAACCCAAGTGGGTCCCAAAATCCGACAGGTGCTTGCACCTGACCACGAAGGCACTATCGTTTGAACTGGCAAAGCTACACTGGATGTAGTGAACTTCTCGTCCTTTCACAGTCCTGATCAGTACGAGTACCAGGACCATCAGGCATCTAGTACAAAGGCCCAAAGCTGTTACCCTCGAGCCAAGCGACTCCAAGCTCATTCTCGAAAGCACGAAGGGGGGAGTCAGTGTACAAGGCCCAGTCACCCCAGGCAGAGCCAGTGAGGCCGTCCTGGAAGAACCTTAGTGTCGCAGAACGTTCAGAGCGTCTCAGAGGGTCTGAGTATGTTCGGGTCAGAAAAGATCAGTCACATCAGCTCAGAGTCAGCGCAGACATAGACTCACAAAGCAATCGAAATCATTCAAAAAGGATTCAAAACATAAGCTCAGTAGCATTCCGATGATGGCCATCATGGCCAAACGTCCGTTAGCGAGTTCTGCGTTAAGTTTTCGTGTCCTGAGACAAGAAAAAAACATCAAAAAGATTTATAGAAAAAGAAAGTATCAAACACAATTACGAAATTGACACATGCTCAAAGACATGAGAAGATCATAGTAAACATAGACGAAAGAATGTGCAAAGCTGCATGCAGTACCACGTAATTACTGTAGTCATGTAGGAAGGTCCTTGTCTCAGGATCCTGGACGGAGTTGCCGAAGCCGATCAGGCCAAGGCCGAGGTTGCCCTTTCCATAATTGCCTTAAGAAAATGCCAAGAGGCAAACAAACCCAAGCCACGTACAGCGAAAAGCATAAATCCCGCCTGGCTCGGAGGTCTTCTTGTTGACAACCAACTCGAGGAAGCCAGCGAAAGCAAGGATCTGCGCCCAGCCCTCTTTGGGCACCACGGAGAGCGCCTTGATTTAGGGGGGAACAATTGATCACCAAGATCAACTAGGTTCAAACCTCTCAAATGAATTCAAATGAAGCATGAGAATTGGGAAACATCTGAAATTAACATTGATTGAAAATATATCATTGAAACAGAACATATTGAAACCCAATGAGAATCTTTGGAAATCACTGAAAATCACGCGGCATCATCTTCGCAGCTGCACCTTCAGGCCGTTTGGCACGTCGCTAAACTTCAGGTTCATGGACGGGGACAAGTAGCCATCAAATCTGTAGTACTCTGGGGCAATGTAACCTTGCACAAGGATGATGAAGAATCCGAAGTTCATGCAAGGTCACTGTCTCATCCAGCTATGCAAACGCACTTGCTTAAGCTTCTGGCCCATGGTTGCGAACATCGCCACCCTGCCGTGCTTGATCTCGGTCTCACGACGCCTGCAGTGCCCAAATGTTGGCAAAGTTAAAGTGTTTGAAAACATCAAACATATCATCCAACTGCTTCTGCCTGCAAGACACGGCATCAGCATCAACCCAGCCTCTTGAAGACCTCAAGATCCTTGTCCTTGGAAAGACCAAGGGGGTCCCAGAAGCCGACAGGTGCCTGGTCACCCACGAGGCCTTCGAAGCCTCAGTATGCTTTTGCTTCGTGCAGAAAATCGGCATCAGCAAAGTTCAAGTACACTGCAGGACACTCATCAAATCTCATCAGCATTTTCAGTTGCTTTCCAAATCTACGCGAAAGTTATCTAAAGAGTTCTAAAGTTGATACTCAAGAAATTCAAGAAGAAAAACCAATGAACGATTACGAAAACAACTCCGAAACAAATCTCAGGCTGCAGCCGGTCTTTGGCTTCTCCCACTCTGGCAAGGTGTTGTAGCCAGGGCTTTTCACTCCGCTGCGCAGCGGAGAGTCAGTGTACAAGGCCCAGTCACCCCAGGCAGAGCCAGTGAGGCCGTCCTGGAAGAACCTTAGTGTCGCAGAACGTTCAGAGCGTCTCAGAGGGTCTGAGTATGTTCGGGTCAGAAAAGATCAGTCACATCAGCTCAGAGTCAGCGCAGACATAGACTCACAAAGCAATCGAAATCATTCAAACAGGATTCAAAACATAAGCTCAGTAGCATTCCGATGATGGCCATCATGGCCAAACGTCCGTTAGCGAGTTCTGCGTTAAGTTTTCGTGTCCTGAGACAAGAAAAAAACATCAAAAAGATTTATAGAAAAAGAAAGTATCAAACACAATTACGAAATTGACACATGCTCAAAGACATGAGAAGATCATAATAAACATAGACGAAAGAATGTGCAAAGCTGCATGCAGTACCACGTAATTACTGTAGTCATGTAGGAAGGTCCTTGTCTCAGGATCCTGGACGGAGTTGCCGAAGCCGATCAGGCCAAGGCCGAGGTTGCCCTTTCCATAATTGCCTTAAGAAAATGCCAAGAGGCAAACAAACCCAAGCCACGTACAGCGAAAAGCATAAATCCCGCCTGGCTCGGAGGTCTTCTTGTTGACAACCAACTCGAGGAAGCCAGCGAAAGCAAGGATCTGCGCCCAGCCCTCTTTGGGCACCACGGAGAGCGCCTTGATTTAGGGGGAACAATTGATCACCAAGATCAACTAGGTTCAAACCTCTCAAATGAATTCAAATGAAGCATGAGAATTGGGAAACATCTGAAATTAACATTGATTGAAAATATATCATTGAAACAGAACATATTGAAACCCAATGAGAATCTTTGGAAATCACTGAAAATCACGCGGCATCATCTTCGCAGCTGCACCTTCAGGCCGTTTGGCACGTCGCTAAACTTCAGGTTCATGGACGGGGACAAGTAGCCATCAAATCTGTAGTACTCTGGGGCAATGTAACCTTGCACAAGGATGATGAAGAATCCGAAGTTCATGCAAGGTCACTGTCTCATCCAGCTATGCAAACGCACTTGCTTAAGCTTCTGGCCCATGGTTGCGAACATCGCCACCCTGCCGTGCTTGATCTCGGTCTCACGACGCCTGCAGTGCCCAAATGTTGGCAAAGTTAAAGTGTTTGAAAACATCAAACATATCATCCAACTGCTTCTTCCTGCAAGACACGGCATCAGCATCAACCCAGCCTCTTGAAGACCTCAAGATCCTTGTCCTTGGAAAGACCAAGGGGGTCCCAGAAGCCGACAGGTGCCTGGTCACCCACAAGGCCTTCGAAGCCTCAGTATGCTTTTGCTTCGTGCAGAAAATCGGCATCAGCAAAGTTCAAGTACACTGCAGGACACTCATCAAATCTCATCAGCATTTTCAGTTGCTTTCCAAATCTACGCGAAAGTTATCTAAAGAGTTCTAAAGTTGATACTCAAGAAATTCAAGAAGAAAAACCAATGAACGATTACGAAAACAACTCCGAAACAAATCTCAGGCTGCAGCCGGTCTTTGGCTTCTCCCACTCTGGCAAGGTGTTGTAGCCAGGGCTTTTCACTCCGCTGCGCAGCGGAGAGTCAGTGTACAAGGCCCAGTCACCCCAGGCAGAGCCAGTGAGGCCGTCCTGGAAGAACCTTAGTGTCGCAGAACGTTCAGACCGTCTCAGAGGGTCTGAGTATGTTCGGGTCAGAAAAGATCAGTCACATCAGCTCAGAGTCAGCGCAGACATAGACTCACAAAACAATCTTCGATTTAATCGAAATCATTCAAAAATCTTCAAAATATCAGCTCAGTAACATTCCGATGATGGCCATCATGGCCAAACGTCCGTTCGCCAACTCGGCAGAAAGCTTCCTTTTGCGTGCTTCTGGATCTTTGACTGGTCCAAGGAAGCCAAGGCCGAGGTTGCCCTTGCCATAGTTGCCGGGTTCATCTCCGACCTACACATTTGCAATTGAGCGCTCGGAAAACTGACAGAACTGAGGCAAACATATTCTGAGGATATGGTACAGGATCTATGGCATATGCCAGACTACGATATAATTATCATGATCATCATGAGACAAAAATACACAACATATATCAACATATAATGATCATGCAGCATGTGATGCCATATAATCATATATAATCCACAAAACATCCGACATCTTATGCCCTCATATTTCATTCACTGTGCAGATGTGGCACTGGCTTGTTGATGAAAAGCTCATAGGTTCCAAGGAGTGCCACGATCTGCGCCCATCCCTGACCAGGCACCTCACAAGCACACCGTGCAAAGGCAAGCAGAAGCAAGCCCGTGCAACACCTAGTTAGTTGACCTAGTCGCTGAAGAATGATCTCAGCACAAGTCGTACACTTTACTGTAAAATTTCTTCACATGAAGTATCAAGGACAAACACAAACAAGCATGACACTTGCAAAAACAAATCCCAATCTCAACGCACATCTCCACATATCTCCACATATCTTCACACATCTTCACACGGCTCGACTCGACGCATCTCCAAACATCTTCACACATCTTCACACATCTTCACACATCTTCACAAATTCTCAAACATCTTCACACATCTTCACACATCTTCACACATCTTCACACATCTTCACACATCTTCACACATCTTCACGCCTTGGAGATGGCAGCCAGTCCGTTTGGGATGTCAGCGAACTTGAGGCCGAGCTTGGGAGAGAGCTCTCCAGGAAATTTGAAGTATTCAGGAGTTATGTATCCCATTGCCGCAAACATGGAGATCCTGAATCGCCAGTGAACAGTTGCCGCAGAAGTCCCAAGGCATCAAATGCACGCAGCTATCCCAACACATCTCACCCTTTCTCAACCTATCCAAACCTCATCCTCACCTATCACTTATCACTATTGCACCATATTGCACGCGCACTCAGAGCCACTTGTACATACTTTTACCAGCGTGACAATCTCCTAGATCCAAATCCAAAATCATCCAACATCCAACGACTGCATGCGGCTCCTGCCATGCTTCAGCTCAACCTCGCGTCGGCGCTTGAAGACGGCCAGGTCACCGTCTGAGGAGAGGCCAAGGGGGTCCCAGAAGCCCACCGGAGGCTGCACCTTGGCCATTTGATCTGGATCCGGAGCAAACATACTTGTCTTTCATGGAGGATCCAGATTCGTGTATAATTATATAACAAATAATGATGATTAATAATTGTAATAATGCAATGAATTTATGTATACGGTATACTTGAGGCCGGGGGTGGATGACGAAAGCTAGCGGGGTAGGAGAAGGAAGGAAGGGAAGACGTATCTTCAGTGTCAGCAGGGAAATGATGATGATGATGATGGTGATGATGATGACGATGATGATGATGATGGTGATGATGATGATGGTGATGATGATGATGCTCATGATGATGATAATGATGATGATGATGGTGGTGATGATGATGACGATGTTGATGATGATGGTGATGATGATGACGATGATGATGACGATGATGATGATGATGACGGCGATGATGATGACGATGATGATGATGATGATGGTGATGATGATGATGATGGTGATGATGGTGATGATGATGACGATGATGATGGTGATGATGGTGATGATGATGATGATTGTGATGATGGTGATGATGATGACGATGATGGTGATGATGATGGTGATGATGGTGATGATGATGACGATGATGCTCATGATGATGACGATGATGATGATGATGATGATGATGAATAATGATGATGGTGATGATGGTGATGATGATGATGATGATGATGCTCATGGTGATGATGGTGATGATGATGATGATGATGGTGATGACGATGATGATGATGGTGATGACGATGATGATGATGATGATGGTGATGATGATGATGCTGATGATGGTGATGATGATGATGATGATGGTGATGATGATGATGATGATGATAAAGGTGACAATGTTGATGCTGATGATGTTGATGCTGCTGATGATGATGCGATGATGATGACGATGATGATGATGAATGATGATGGATGATGATGGTGATGATGATGATGATGATGATGATGATGCGATGATGATGCTCATGATGATGCTGATGATGATGATGATGCTCATGATGATGATGATGATGATGCTCATGATGATGCGATGATGATGATGATGATGATGATGAATGAATGATGATGGTGATGATGGTGATGATGATGATGATGATGATGCTCATGATGATGCTCATGATGATGCTCATGATGATGCTCATGATGATGCTCATGATGATGCTCATGATGATGCTCATGATGATGCTCATGATGATGCTCATGATGATGCTCATGATGATGCTCATGATGATGCTCATGATGATGCTCATGATGATGCTCATGATGATGATGATGATGATGATGATGATGATGATGACGATGATGCTGATGATGGTGATGGTGGTGGGGTTGGGGGGGCCTTTCGCGTGAAAAATCACGTGATGTCCTTGAGCAGCCCCCGGAATACTTGCTAAAGCAAGAAGACTCCAGCTAGCTGACACTAGCTTTCGTGATATTGCACGACTCATTTCAAATCACATGTTTCAAGAATTCTCGCCATTTGTCAAACCAATAAAGGTACCAGTACGTGCTTCGAAGCACATGTCTGCGTAGTAACGAGTCTTGCATTGGCCCTCCCCTTTCATGCATTTTCGAGAGATTGGAATTTGGGAGATCTCACAGTGTCTCCGAACCTCAAAACAATTCACAACAATTCAGTCGAAGCAAATCATTTTGCTTCCCTGATCTGCGAACCAGAGCTGTCACCAAGGCACACCCAACTCACCCTCGAAGGCCCGCAACGGAGAGTCGGTGTAGTTGGCCCAGTCACCCCAAGCAGAGCCCGTCAGGCCATCCTATTCATGGAATTTCATGGATCTGTGGAAGCCGAGGCAAAGGTGACAAATCTCCAGTGTCCCAGTAATTCCCAGTGTATATATTCCTGATACGAAAGTAATGATTGTATAATTTTTTACAAATTATATCAAATTATAAGCATGTAACATCACGTTATATAATGTTATATATAATTGGTTCAAGAGAATGCTTCGCCTACTTCATTCATAAATATCCTCGATTGGAGTGATTCGACCAAAAATGATAAACTACACTTCACCACGCTTCACTCCGTTTCATGTATATTATTCTCCCTCCGAGAAATTCTGCAGCGGTGGCAGTAGCGCCTGAAAGAACATTCCGATGATGGCCTTCAACGCACAGGGAAAATTATAAAACATGATAAAACTCGAATGTGCCCACATAAATCCACACAATTTATTGTGGACAGAAAATGTAGGGCATGGCAATAGCGCGTGCAAAAAGTCAAAGAATGCCTACACACCAAAAAAAAGAAAAACATATTCCACCTGCAATACATACAGCACAAGCTTTCTAATACAAAGGGTCTATGACTCGTCGCAGGCCAAACTAGCTAAGATCCTCCTGCCGGTGATGAAACTATAAGTGCTGTAAAGCGACAAACATTGCCAGACGACCGTTAGCCAACTCCGCATTGAGCTTCCTCGGAGCCAGAAGAACTCGAAGCAAGAACAAGAGAACCCAAAGGACCAATCAGCATCAGCAAGCAGCAAGCGTCAGCAAGCCAAGAGCAAGCCATAGGTTGATTTTTTCACCTGCAGACGCAATGCAACAAAGAGTGGCCGTCGTCAACAACCCTACACAAGTCATTCTGCCCATTGTATACCGGAATGAAACACCGAGTATGCACTCTATGCCAGAATGAAGTCACTTTTGAAATGCCTAAAGGATCCTAAAGACTTTCAGATCCAAGACAATGTTATCATATTTTACCCAAATCAAAAAGCGTGACCTCACTTCCCAACCACATGACCAGATTCTTCTTTCTAACCTCTGGGTCTGCAATGCCCGCATTCATGAAGCCGATGGACCTGAAGTCAAGCTCAGACGGTTGGCTCATGCTGGCACTATCACAGCTTATTACAGCAAATTGTGTGCTTACGGCTTACGTGCTGCCTGATACAGCTTCATGAAAAAAAAGCAGGAAAAATTGTCCCAGGATCTAGGCAATCCTCCTGTCACAAGGGTCATGGAAGCGGAATCCGTTCCCGCTCTAATTCCATCTCTGTTACTCTAATAGAACCCACCAATTTTCTACGTAGCGAACCAAGAGATGTCTGTATGCCCGTGTGATCAAGTCAGTATATCACAGTATATCTAATTATGTGATGGCTTCCTAAAATGGTGGTACCCCAAAACCATGGGCTTCGATACTAAAATGGTGATTTTGGGCACCCCTATTTTAAGAAGCTCCATATCTAGAGTTCCAAGACAAATCGCCGTGCGCGAGTCCTTTATTCAACAGGCAAGCGTGTTGTCCTGAGAATTGCTTATCCATAGGCTGAAGCTCTCCAAGACCAACCAACGTGCCTCAATCCAAGGAAGCCGGCACCGTAGTTGCCAGGCTCGTCATTGACCTGTTCATTGTAGACCTTGGTGGGGTAAAGCTGCACACCAAATGCTTGCCCAAGAACATATAGAAGCACATCATGGTGGCATGGGGCATCCTGTTTCAAATGCTTGCTCGGTTGAATTTTGTCGGCCGAAATTGAGACAGTTGAGACAGAAAGAAGCCGGGTATAGTCGGATATAGTGGAGGCAAATCTGCACCATGTCAAGGAATTGTTGTGCATCTTCAGCAGAGCTTCATGATGCTTCATAATACTTCATGAAAGATCATGATAGAGGTTCTCAATATGTTGATCGTGAAAGGGGTTTTACAATGTTCAACAAGCTGCATTGAGTTCTACGATGCCAGCGAAGCCCACGATCTGCAACCATCCCAGTGCTGGAACTTTGGAGAAGGCAGACAATCCATTGGGAACTTCAGAGAACTTGATGTCCTAAGGGACTCCAGCACCATGAGCCACGTGCATGGCAACCAGGCAACCATGTTCACGTGCCACGTGCCACGTGTCACCGCTAGCATCACATGATAGTCAGATGATGTCAAATGTATGTGGGCAAAAAGAATGAGGAAGCGAACTTAGGGGATCCGTAGAAAGAAGATTCTGAGTGTTTGTGAAGGAGTGCAGACTGTCCAGTGAGAGCTTTCACTTTGATCGCAGCTAAGACGATATAAATAAGAAATTATAAGAAGATATTGAAGATATTATCATCCTTCAAAGAGTGGGTGGGTAGATCGCCCTTGACCCTTTTGAGTTTGTCCTCACCCTCCGGTGCAAGCCGGTTTTGCTCGAGGCTCTAGGAACTTGGACAAATATCCTGGGAAGCGCCAGTATTCCGGCAGGATATATCCGATCGTTGCAAACCTTAGATATGATAGGCACTGCAAGACGAATATTGAACTTACATGGGTTTGATTTCAGGCAAGTACTTCTCCGATCTTCTCGGTGTTTTTCTTGTGTTTCACAACTTTATAAGGACAAAACGTCTGCCAATCAACGAATGTCAAATGATTCTTCCGAGAGACATGGCCACACGGCCGTGCTTCAGTTCTACTTCTCGTCGACGCTTGTAGTCGGACAAATTTCCTTGGTAAGTCGGTAGTTCCAAAACATCCAAAACCCCACAAATAGTCGCGACAGGAAAAACAAATCGAAGAACTATACAATAGAACTATATAATCTATATAAATACAGTCGGATTGTCAACTGAGTAAGTTGCCATGTAAAGCTTGTGAAGGGGGTGCAAAGGAAGGCTCTTGGCTTGCTCGAGTCATCATGTGATCTGCAGATTTGCAGCCACGTTTCCGCTCACCGAGAGACCCAAGGGATCCCAAAAGCCCACAGGAGGCTGCACACCTGGCCCAAAGGATCCCGTAGGACAGAAAGAAGTGACAAAGGATTAACGACATTAACGAAGGAGACTGGTTGGGATTGCATGCGGTCTATACATAATTGACATAAACACAACAAACAGGAAAGAACAGGAAAGAACTCAATGGCAATGATAGATGACATAATACTAATAAATGAATATAAATGACATCATATGAAATTAACATGTCTTGCTGCAACTCTGTGACCTGTCTCGTTCTCGAAGGCTCGCAGAGGCGAGTCGGTGTAGAGCGACCAATCGCCCCAAGCGGAGCCTGGTTCCAGATCTGCTTCCAGAACGTGGCCACATGTGTGCCAAAGCATTGGCAAGATCTACGTTAAACATCCTTCAACATTGTTCAACACTTTTCCATCTCATTCCCATCTTGCCTGTGAGGCCATCCTGGTAAAACATTCCGATGATTGCCATCCTGACGAAGTTGCAACTGCAGCTCTGATCAGATTTTGACACGTTCGGACAAAGAGTATGAATGCCTGAAAGCCTACGAGCAGTTTGGTTTGCAGTTGTGTCTAGCGTGTTACGATAATTAGGCATTTACCAAAAACTGTTTGCATTCAGAATATTTTGTCTGATATGTTTCAGAGAGCCACGATAAAAACCTGCAATAGTTGCAATTTAGTGTTCCTATATAAAATCCTTCTCGAAAAATCAATTGCCTGACTGAGTCGTTTAGTACTTTAGTTCACTACTTATGCTGACAGCGGTCTGCGATCGGATTTCTTTGTAGCCAAGGGTCATGGCAAGTCTTCCATTGGCCAGTTCGGCATTGAGTTTCTGTGTTTTCTTCTCGGGATCAGCCGAGGTCCTGAGTCAAAATCCCAACTCGGTCTCATGAATCATATTGGATCATAGTGGATCATAATTTTATGAATTCTATGATACTAGTGATCCAATATTCCTCCTTACAGTGACTAGTCTGGGCTACGGCACCAAGTGTTGGCCAAGGGTCAGGACATACCAGCCAAAATCGCCTGAAGATCAAACATTAGTTCGCGACTGGATTATCTTTGGCTGAAACGTTGTGTTGTGTCATACTGAGAAGTGAAAGAAATTGAGCTCATGTAGACTCAAGAAATTTTGAGAGTTCTGTGATTTGTCTCCAAAAGGAGCGTCTGCACACAGTTTACCTGGGACTCTCTGCGAATGTGGAAGACTGAGGTTTCTTTCACCAAAACATGCTGGCGGTCCGCAATATAACATGGATTTGCCGGATATTGCCAGACCCAGAAAGATCAGAAACGGGTCTCTGCCTGGTCTGCCGCTAGCAATGTCAGAGCCAGGGCCACGGCTCACCTCGCACCAGCCCATGTAGAGTAGGATCTGCGTCCAACCACCTGCTGGCACCTCAGGACAAAGTCGGACAAAACGTGGGAAAGGACACCTTTTGGTGTCATAACAAGATAGGAAACAAAGTACGTGACACGTTGTGAACTGTGCAAAATAGATTAAGTGAACATTTCAAAGATTTGTGAATACTAAGTAGGATGTCTATGTTGGTTGAGATGAAAACCCGTCATATTTTCTGTAGGTTCTATAATGAGAAGGTCCTTGGTCATAGCATCCATTCAGCTGTGGTAGTGCTGCATGGCTTACTTGTAAATGGGCGGTTTAATATTAATCATATGATACATATACATATTATATATATAAATGCTTATATATATATATTATTATTATTATTGTTATTATTGTTATTATTATTATATATTATATATTATTATTATATATTCTATATATAGAAATGCTAATCTATATAAATATATATATATATATAGATATGTATATATATATGTATATGTATAAATAAAGAATATATGTATATCTATATATATATATATATGTATATATGTATGTGTATATATGTATCCAAATCATATCTCACCGAAGGAAGTTTAGAAGTCAAACTCCCGACAATATGGGCAGATGAAAAGCAGAGCTGGATCAGAAGAATAGAGCAGAGAAGAGAAAGAGTCAGAAGAAAGAAGATGCAGGTGCGCGAAAAGGTAGGAAAGTCGCGAAGCACTGTGTTTTTCCAATGATTTGTGGCTCCAGAGGGTCGAAAAGTAGGCTCGCCAAAGCGGCGGGTGCGGAGCCAGCTGGCCAGATGAGAGAGGAACAATTGCACACCGTTGTGGCGCGAAGCACATTTCGAAGTCAAAATGTGCAAAACACCTCAGCTCCGGACCACTTTTGGAAGTTGAGATGTCAAAAAAGTGCACGCCGTTGTGGCGCGAAGCACATTTCGAAGTCAAAATGTACAAAACACACCATGCTCGGACCACTTTAAGCACATTTCGAAGTCAAAATGTTAAAAACACCCGGAGTTCGCACCACTTTTGGACGTTCAGATGTTGTTTCGCGTGGCAGGCGCAAGGGATTGTGGACCTTGTCAAAAGTGAGCAAAACGTGAAGGTTTTGTAGCATTTTCAACTACAACCACCACTACACCACACTACACTCCAATACACTACACTACAACTACAACTACACACTACACTCCACTACACTACACTACACTCAATTACACTCAATTACGCTACACTACACTACACTACATTACATTACATTACACTACACTAATGACATTACACTACACTACCCTACATTACACTACATCACACTAACTACAACTACAACTACATAATAATACACTAAACCACACTAATTACATTACACTACACTGCACTACACTGCACTACACCCCACTCCACTACACTACACTACACCTCACTACACTACACTCCACTACACTACAGTACACTACATTCAATTACACTACACTACACTACACTGCACTACACCACGCGACACTACACTACACTACACTACACCACACTACACTACACTACACTAAACTACACTACACTACACTACACTAACTACAACTACAACTACGACTACGACTACGACTACGACTACGACTACGACTACGACTACGTACTACACTACACTACACCACAACCACAACCACAACCACAACCACAACCACAACTACAACTACACTAATTGCATTACACCACACCACACCACACTACACTACACTAGACTAGACTACACTACACTACACGCTACACTACACTACACTACACTAATTGCATTACACTACACTACACTACACCGCACTACACTACACTACACCGCACTACACCACACCACACCTACACTCAATTACACTACACTACGCTACACTACCCTACCCCACATTGCATTACATTACATTACATTACATTACACTACACTCATTACACCACCACAAATGCAACTGCAACTACACTACACTAATTACACTACAACACAACTACAACTCCCCTACACTACAACTACAACTACAGCTGCACTACACCACACTACATCCAGCAGTTGTGGGTGAGGCGACCGACCAGGTGACCACTGCAACCATTGCAGCCACTCCAAAAAACACAGCTCTAACCACCTTTCGGTCCATCAGTGGATTCGCTCTGCCATCCGTTATTCACAACAACCAATCTCTCCTATAGGTTTCCTATTTTTGAAACTTCCGCCACCGCCTTGTGCGGTACTACTGGTATATATGTGTATATTGATATATACATACACACATAAACAGCCATTACATGTTTGAGTCGTGTATACATACATACATTTATAAAATTATATATTATATAAGTTTATATAATATATACATACTGGAAGCAAGTCCGGAAATGCAGCATGGCCTTCGAGATAGCTGCCAAGCCATTGGGGACATCGGCGAACTTCAAGCCAGCTGATGGTGAGAGGTAGCCAGGAAATTTGCCGGCGATTTCTGGAGTGATGTAACCTCTGCTTTTGCTCAAATGGAATCAAGTCAAGACGTTTTCACTGATTTCACAAAGTGACAGTAAATGTTGTTTGAGAGAAGGTCATTGACAAGCTTCTGTGTTTTCATACGTCACTATCTGCCAGGACAATCAGTGATTAATAGAACCCGATAGAAGGTATTTGTAGGCCAAGAACCTACCAGTAGAAGCCAAGCAACCTTTCACCGACTGGAGTGTTTCGTCAGAAATGCATATATCATCAAACATCTGAATAGATAATCTAAGGAATGTTCATTGCTCGAAATGCTGAGCCCGTATCTATGAGTCTATGAGCTTCGTGTGACCGACTGACTCACACTGGATATTTACAGCAAAAAGCTTTGCTCCAAGGTGCCCATGGTGGCAAGCATGGCAATCCTGCGCCATCCAAGGATTGCCAAATGTTAAGGGTGGCCAAGTGCGAGCCATGATTTGAAATGAAGGTTCTACGGCGGTGAACAATATTGAAGAACAACTACTTTACAAAACGACCAATGAATGCAAGAGACTCTCCAAAAGAGCTGATGAGTACAGGTTTGGACTGGTGACTGGTAGTGACACGGGAAGACACTTGCATGTTTCTGGCATGATCATTCTGACAGATTGGCTCTGCTTTGGCAATGGTGGAAGGATTGGATTGTACGCGTACCTGCTTTGTCTGACTGTTGAGTCCAAAAAAGGGAACAGGCCAGCTGATGAAGAAGGCTCATCAACTACCAGAAATGCTGAAACCGATTTTTGGTGTTGACAAACCTTTACTAAATATATAAGTTGAATGAGTAAATAAACACTGCGCACCACTGCGCCTCCCACTCCTTTCCTCTCATCCCGCAGTCTCCTTCCATGCTTCAGCTCTACTGACCGTCTGCGCTTGAACGCCTAACAGGGAAGACATCTCGATCAGTCTGTAGATGCCGTCAAGCATCCAAAATATAGAAAATTGCACCAAAAAATGCATGAGTCATTAGACTGGATAGTATAGGTATGGATAGGTACTGTTTGATCCTTTATGATGCATTTCCAGAGACATCATCACTGTGGAGCGGCCTTTGCTGTTAGGATGTCTTGCGTTGGCCATTGAAGCTCTTTCCCAAACCCTTTTGGTTGCGATGGGTCGTCACAAATAGCTAGACTCCTGGACGTTTTCCTACCATGCATCTGCATGCTCTGACAACAGCAAAAGAGACCTCAACAAAGAGCGAACTGCAAAGTTTTGCAGAGTCTTGCAAAACGGTTTCGACATCCTGAAGGATCAATGCATTTCAAACTATGCGTTCCCATAGACACCTCCACATCACCATCCTTGGAGAGCCCTGCGGGGTCCCAGAAGCCCACAGGTGGCTGAACGCCAAGTTCCTTGCATCTCGACATGGGAGTTATCCTCCGCTATTTGCAAAAGTTTCAACTAAACTATATAGTGTATATACTAGGAAGACATGGGAAGACTCCATAGTTCCATCCATCTTGTGGAGTCTTCTGTGATTGGGTGATCTTTTGGATAAAATACTGGAAGATGTGGAAGCATTGCATAACACACAACGATGTATAGCGATCATGCTTCATCGTCTTGAACATATGCAAAGAGCCTGAAACATCCTTAGCGTTTCATATCGTTTCCATCCAGCCCAGGCCCATGACCCATCGCACCTGCTCAAATGCCTGACGAGGAATAGTAGTTGAACAAAAACACGCTGATGAAACTGTCCCAATCGGGTACGAAGCACGTCAAATGAAATCAAATGAACATAGTCTTGAAACAAGATGCAGCCCACGAACCCGACTGCTCACACGTGTGTTAATGGTACAGATACCGAAATTTGTGACACAGTTAATTTGAACAGTCTTGTACATTTTTCCCCCTGTTACCATACCAGTGCACCGTAGACTGTGGAATATGGAAGAAGGTGGCGTGCAAAGTATGGAGTGTGGAGTGTAGAGTCTGGAGTGTAAAGTATGGAGTGTAAAGTGTGGAGTGTAAAGTGTAGTGTAAAGTATGAAGTGTAAAGTGTGTAGTGTAAAGTGTAAAGTGTAAAGTGTGGAGTGTGGAGCGTAGAGTGTAAAGTGCAAAGTGTAAAGTGTAAAGTGCAGAGTGTGGAGTGTAAAGTGTGGAGTGTAAAGTGTGGAGTGTGGAGTTTAGAGTGTAGAGTGTAGAGTGCGGAGTGTAGAGTGCGGAGTGTGGAGTGTAAAGTGTAGAGTGTAAAGTGTAGAGTGTAGAGTGTGGAGTGTAAAGTGTGGAGTGTGAAGTGTAAAGTGTAAAGTATGGAATGTACAGTGTGGAGTGTAAAGTGTCGAGTGTGGAGTGTAAGGTGTAGAGTGTGGAGTGTAGAGTGTGGAGTGTGCAGTGTAAAGTGTAGAGTGTGGAGTGTAAAGTGTGGAGTGTAAAGTGTGGGGTGTGGAGCGTGGAGTGTAAAGTGTAGAGTGTAAAATGTAGGTGTAAAGTATGGAGTGTAAAGTGTGGAATGTAAAGTGCGGTGTGTGAAGTGTAAAGGGTGTGGTGTGTAAAGTGTGGAGTGTAAAGTGCGGAGTGCAAAGTGTAGAGCGTAAAGTGTGGAGTGTAAAGTGTGAAGTGTGGAGTGTAAAGTGTAGAGTGTGGAGTGTAAAGTGCAGAGTGCGGAGTGTAAAGTGTGGAGTGTAGTGTAAAGTGTAGAGTGTTGAGTGAGGAGTGTAATGTGACAAGTATTGAGTGTAAAGTGTCAAGTGTGGAGTGCACAGTGTAAAGTGTAGAGTGTAAAATGTAAAGTGTAGAGTGTGGAGTTAGGAGTGTAAAGTGTAGAGTGCGGAGTCTGAAGTGTAAAGTGTGGAGTGTAAAGTGTGGAGTGTGGAGTGTAAAGTGTAAAGTGTTGAGTGTAAAGTGCAGAGTGTAGAGTGTAAAGTGTGGAGTGTGGAGTTTAGAGTGTAGAGTGTGGAGTGCAGAGTGTGGAGTGCAAAAGTGTCAATTGTAAAGCGTGGAGTGTAAAGTGTGGAGTGTAAAGTGTAGAGTGTGGAGTGTAGAGTGTGGAGTGTGGAGTGCAGAGTGTAAAGTCTAAAGTGTAAAGTGTGGAGTGTAAAGTGTCAATTGTAAAGCGTGGAGTGTAAAGTGTGGAGTGTAAAGTGTAGCGTGTGGAGTGTAGTGTCAGGAGTGTAGAGTGTAAAGTCTAAAGTGTAAAGTGTGGAGTGTAAAGTGTGGAGTGTAAAGCGTGGAGTGTAAAGTGTGGAGTGTAAAGTGTAGCGTGTGGAGTGTACAGTGTGGAGTGTAGAGTGTAAAGTCTCAAGTGTAAAGTGTGGAGTGTAAAGTGTAGAGTGTAAAGTGTAGAGTGTAAAGTGTAAAATGTGGAGTGCACAGTGTGGGGTGTAAAGTGTAGTGTAAAGTGTAGAGTGTGGAGTGTGCAGTGTAAAGTGTGGAATGCACAGTGTGGAGTGTAAAGTCTAGTGTGGGGAGTGTACAGTGTGGAGTGTGGAGTGTAAAGTGTGGAGTGTGGAGTGTGAAGTGCAAAGTGTAGAGTGTAAAGTGTGGAGTGTAAAGTGTGGAGTGTAAAGTGTGGAGTGTAAAGGGTAGGGTGTGGAGTGTAGTGTGTAAAGTGTGGAATGTAAAGTGTGGAGTGTGAAGTGTAAAGGGTCGAGTGAGGAGTGTGGAGTGTAGAGTGTGGGGTGTAGAGTGTGGAGTGTGGAGGGCTGCGCCTGCCACACAAAACGATTTTCGACACTTTATCAAACAGGTTGGAATGTCACAAAGTGCCGCGCCTGCCACGCAAAACGACATGACAACCTGCTTTGACACCTTCGAAAAGGAAAGGTTTTGCAGCTTCCCCCATAGACACGGCGAGGCCACAGGAAAACCAGAGACTCGAGACGAGACATGCGGGAGCATCAAAACGAGCATTTCGCGCGAGACTTCCGCCAATTTTGACACTTTGTAGCTTCAAAATCGATGTTTTCCCACGAGTTTTCCTTAGAACCTCTAAATTTGCTACCTCAAAATCGATGTTTCGTGCGAGGCTTCCGTCAAGTTTCAGCACATCGCACAAAATGCCACGCCTGCCATGGAATTTGCACCTTGTCGCCACTTGACGCAGCCCTGACCATGCGATTGGAAAAACACGCAACACGACACGTCTGAAGTGCTGCGCCTGCCACGCAAAATGACGATGGACACGTCCAAAGTGCTGCTCCCGCCACGAAAACTGCAACACATCTTCTGAAAACGTCGCAAAAGTATCGCGCCTGCCACACAAAACGACTTTCGCCACGCGTTACAAAACACGTCTGAATGTCACGAGGTGCCACGCCTGCCACGCGAACCGAAGCAACGCCATATGTGAAACCTCCGAAAGTGACCCCTTTTGCAGAACTTACCATAGGCACGGGCATACGGCCCTCGTGCAGACGGTTGCGGACGGTTGCGAACGGTTGCGAACGGTTGCAAACGGTTGCGGACGGTTGGGCAACGTCGAGCGAACACACCCTCAACCCCCAGACCCCCAGAGTGAAACGGGAACCCTTGCTACGCATTCGGGAAAAACTGCCAAGTCTGGTGGAGTATGTGAAAAGAGGCTCAAAGCATTCAAACATAGTCAAAACATGCAAAACATTTCAGAACCACTCGAACATGTTCAAACCAGTCTCATCAGTCTCTTTATCTGTAGCATCCCTTATATTTCCTCAACTTTCCCCATTGGTCTCAGTGCATCTCTGTAGTATACCAGTAGTGCCGCACAAGGCCGTGGCAGAAGTTTCAAAAATAGGAAACCTATAGGAGAGGTTATAGTTGTTGTGAATCACGGATGGCAGAGCGAATCCACTGATGGACCGAAATGTGGTTGGAGTTGTGTTTTTTGGAGTGGTTGCAGTGGCCACCTCACCCACAACTGCTGAATGTAGTGTGGCGCACGGTGTGGTGTAGTTTGTAGTTGTATTTTTAGTTGCAGTTGTAGTTGTAAGTGTAGTGGTAGTTGCAGCTGTAGTTGTAGTGTAGTGGTAGTGTCGTGGTACTTGTAGCTGTAGTGGTTGTAGCTATACGTAGTTGTAGTTGTAGTGTTGCTCAGTGTAGTTGTAGTTGCAGCTGCACTTGTAGTTGTAGTTGTGGTTGTAGTGTAGGGTAGTGTAGTTGTAGTTGTCTACCTATCTGTCCATCTGTTTATCTCTCTATCTGTCTGTCTGTCTGTCTATCTATCTGTCTATATATCTTGAAAACGAAGCAATTCCGCGAGATTTCCTCATTGTTTCAACTTGACAACGTCAAAAACGAAGCAATTCTTCGAGACTTCCTCATTTTTTCAAATTGGCAACATCACAAACGAAGCAATTCTGCAAGATTTCTTTCAATAATGGAAGGTTGAGTGCAGCGCTGACAGCCTCGTACCAATGCGTTTTGCGATTTTTCCACTCCACCTGTCTAAAGTACTGCGCCTGCCACGAAAAATTGATGCCAGGTCATACGAGCTGAACCTGTCACGCAAAATCATCTTAGCAAACCTACAGATCTGATGCTCCAAAATGCAACCCCTCTCAGGAAATCAGCGCCCTGACCTCCTAACATCTCTCATGAACATGTCTTTTGTACTGCGCCTACCACGGAAAATGCATCTTTCCAGATCCTCTTCAAATGCCCCACGCCTGCCATCGTTTTTGGACATGCCACAAAACCCTCACGTTTTTCTGACTTTTGACAAGGTGCACACAATCCCTTGCGCCGGCCACGCGAAGCGCCTTTTCGACATCTCAACTTCAAAAAGTGCTCCGGGCCTGGTGTCCTTTGTGCATTTTGACTTGGAAATGTGATTCGGCCACATTGGCGTGCACTTTTTCGACATCTCAACTTCCAAAAGTGCCCCGAGAATGGTGTTCTTTGCGCATTGTGACTTGGAAATGTGCTTCGCGCCACAACGGCGTGCACTTTTTCGACATCTCAACTTCTAAAAGCGCTCCGGAGCTGAGGTGCTTTGTACATCTTGACTTGGAAATTTGCTTCGCGCCACAACGGCGTGCAATTTTTCATCTCTCATCTCCCCAGACGGCTCCGCACCCACCTACTTTTCGACCCTCCGGAGCCACAAATCATTGGAGAACAGAGTGTTTCGCGACTTTGCTACCTTTTCGCGCACCTGCATCTTCTGTCTTCTGACTTGACTCTTTCTCTTCTCTGATCTTTTTTCTTTTCTTCTCTTCTCTGACTCTTCACACCTCTGCTTTTTCATCTGTCCATATTGTCGGAAGTTTGACTTCTAAACTTCCTTCGACAATAAGTTATATAATAAGTTATATGAGTTATGTTATATACTAATTCCAGGCGCCTGCAATGCGGTAACAGTGGTCTTGCTCATGGCGCCGGGCCGTCGCGTGAGGAGCACGCCAGCACTTGCTGCTACAACAGAGGCCGCCGCATAGGAGGCCGTGGACGCCGCGCTGGAGGCGCTGGCGCTAGCAGCCTGCGCTATCGTGAGGCGCCACAAGACCCCACAGGAAGCACGCTTCACAACAGGAAGATCAGGAAGCTTGACAAAATTTGGCAGAAATGTGTTGGCTGCAAATAGTGTTATCTTTTGATCTTTGATTTTGCAATTTGCTTGGAATTTGATGCTTTTTGATTCTCTGAGAAACTCATGTTCACACCATTTTGCTGTCGCTTTGCAGATCGGACATGTGTGGTCTTTCCTGCACCTGTGGTGCTGCTCTTGTGGCGCGAAGGGCGCCATTCTTTGTTTGGCTTCCTTGCGCAAAAGATTTCCAGAATGCATCTCGCTGAAGTCCTGTATGCTAGAGCATTATTCCAACCTAAAGTGCATTTCTCTGCGCGAAAGCTAAACAGGATGACCTGTACTCACCCAAACACAAGTCGCAGTCTCACAAATCATTGTCAACACCCAAGCATGCTGTCTTTGCACCGTGGAAGGCTCGCCTGGAGACGCAATAAAAGCGCTCCCTGCAACCGCACCTGCAATTCAGTTTCAAATAGCTGACTGCATTCCATCATCAGAACTTGTTTTACAATGTCTTACTCTTGGTCCACCCATCCATTGGTGGCATCAGTTCAAACATCTACAAAAGCACCAAACAAAACCTGACACATCTGCGAAATCATACATTTTTCAATGCGACAGAAACTGAGCTGAAGAAGGCTGAAGATTACGATTATTTTTACCGGTCCCATCAGTCTATACTCTTGGAGCCTGCTAAGCCGACGCCCACGGCGCCATACCTCTTTGAAGCCATCCTGCGCTCAAGCTGACCATCTTGAACTTTCTGAAAGCCGATTTCGAAAGTTTGAAAAAGTGGAATTGCAAAATCTGCACCAAGCGTTATTGGAATCGAATGCTCTGGCATGTCAGCAAGCATCACCAAATTGCAGAAAACTGCATAAGAGCGGAATATGTCGATTCAATACTGGCGTCGGTCCTGTCTACTAAGGAAAAATTGGAGTGAAAACGGCTCCGGAAGGGCACCGCGCAAGAAAAAGGTGCCTCTTTTAGATGGCTGGCGGTGCCTTGTGCCAAACCTCTGCGTGTAAGGAGGTCGACCATCTGGCGATAAGCTGCACAGAAAGTGACATGGGAATCTAGAAGAATCTTGGTGCCGCAGAAACATGTTTTGTCCACATCTGCTGAATCTCTTCACATAATTTTGTGCGGCTCTTAAAGTGGAACAAAGGGTTAGATTAGATTATCCCTGGAACACCAGATCGGCTCTTTTGAAACTGCTCTAGCACCGTCGACTTTGCCTCGGCTCATGTGTCCTCCACATGTCGGTTGGGCAACATTTCGTCTTTTTCAAAAGAAAGACATTGCAGGAAAATCAAACAACCAAACCATTTCCCAGAAATAATACCTGTTCAATCCTTTTCGTTCTCAAGTAAGAAAGTATATATAGAAAAGTACAGATTTGAAAACTGTTTCACGTTGCCCAACCCATCTTCATTAGCTTTTTTTTGGCGAACTCTTCTCACCGCAATGGAGAATCCGTGTAGTTGGCCCAATCACCCCAGGCGGAGCCGGTCAGGCCATCCTGGAAAAACCTCGCTCAAAGTGTGAAGGGCAACAAGCAATGCGAGCAATGCACGAACATCAAAGAATACGCCATACGCATTGGAAATACGTCTTGGATCGCACTGGAAGTTATAAAAGGTCTCAGGTAAAAATGCAGATTGCACTCGATAGAACCAGGAGAAATCCCATGACACCACAGCATCCCTCGCGATCGTTGAAGTTTCTGGAGCCAGCAACCAGCGCTGCTGCTGCGACTTTGAAAGTCAAAAAGAGGACCAGAAGCCTACTCAACCACATCAACTTACCCCAAGAACAGTCGTGCCGCATGAACTGTCCAGAGGTCGGTTGCCAAAACGAAATGTATGAAAAGGAATGTGTGCTCTCATACCAAATAGTGATATGGGGGTTTCTTAAATAGTAATATGGTGTAATTTTGGATGATTTGGGGTACCCCCCATTTCAGGAAACCTCCATATTGTCGGACATAGGGGATGCCTAATTGCAAAGCAAGAGGCATGCCGATAATGGCCATCATGGCCAAACGTCCGTTGGCGAGTTCTGCGTTAAGTTTTCGTGTCCTGCGAAAAAACAAAAAAGTATCAAACAGTTAAACACCATGTCGAAATTGACACATGCTCCAAGACACGAGAAGATCATAATAAACATACACTATATAAAGAATGTGCAAAGCTGCATGCAGTACCACGTAATTACTGTAGTCATGTAGGAAGGTCCTTGTCTCAGGATCCTGGACGGAGTTGCCGAAGCCGATCAGGCCAAGGCCGAGGTTGCCCTTTCCATAATTGCCTTAAGAAAATGCCAAGAGGCAAACAAACCCAAGCCACGTACAGCGAAAAGCATAAATCCCGCCTGGCTCGGAGGTCTTCTTGTTGACAACCAACTCGAGGAAGCCAGCGAAAGCAAGAATCTGAGCCCAGCCCTCTTTGGGCACCACGGAGAGCGCCTTGATTTAGGGGGGAACAATTGAGCATCAAGATCGCCAAGGTTCAAACCTCTCAAAAGAAGCATGAAAATTATGAAACATCTGAAATTAACATTGATTGAAAATATATCATTGAAACAGAACATATTGAAACCCAATGAGAATCTTTGGAAAGAACTGAAAATCATGCGGCATCATCTTCGCAGCTGCACCTTCAGGCCGTTTGGCACGTCGCTAAACTTCAGGTTCATGGATGGGGACAAGTAGCCATCAAATCTGTAGTACTCTGGGGCAATGTAACCTTGCACAAGGATGATGAAGAATCCGAAGTTCATGCAAGGTCACTGTCTCATCCAGCTATGCAAACGCACTTGCTTAAGCTTCTGGCCCATGGTTGCGAACATCGCCACCCTGCCGTGCTTGATCTCGGTCTCACGACGCCTGCAAGTGCCCAAATGTTGGCAAAGTTATTTTTTTGACAACATATCAAACATATCATCCAACTGCTTCTGCCTGCAAGACACGGCATCAGCATCAACCCAGCCTCTTGAAGACCTCAAGATCGTTGTCCTTGGAAAGACCAAGGGGGTCCCAGAAGCCGACAGGTGCCTGGTCACCCACAAGGCCTTCGAAGCCTAAGTATGACTTTGCTTCGTTCATCTTCGTTCAGAAAATCGGCATCAGCAAAGTTCAAGGGTACACTCATCAAATCTCATCAGCATTTTCAGTTGCTTTCCAAAGCCACGCTAAAGTTATCTAAAAAGTTCTAAAGTTGATGCTCAAGAAATTCGATAAGAAAACAACAACGAACGATTACGAAAACAACTCCGAAACAAATCTCAGGCTTTAGCCGGTCTTTGGTTTCTCCCACTCTGGCAAGGTGTTGTAGCCAGGGCTTTTCACTCCGCTGCGCAGCGGAGAGTCAGTGTACAAGGCCCAGTCACCCCAGGCAGAGCCAGTGAGGCCGTCCTGGAAGAACCTTAGCGTTGCAGAACGTCTCAGAGCGTCTCAGAGGGACTGAGTATGTTCGGGTCAGAAAAGATCAGTCACATCAGCTCAGAGTCAGCGCAGACATAGACTCACAAAACAATCTTCCATTTAATCGAAATCATTCAAAAAGCTTCAAAATATCAGCTCAGTAACATTCCGATGATGGCCATCATGGCCAAACGTCCGTTCGCCAACTCGGCAGAAAGCTTCTTTTTGCGTGCTTCTGGATCTTTGACTGGTCCAAGGAAGCCAAGGCCAAGGTTGCCCTTGCCATAGTTGCCGGGTTCATCTCCGACCTACACATTTACGATTGAGCGCTCGGAAAACTGACAGAACTGAGGCAAACATATTCTGAGGATATGGTACAGGATCTATGGCATATGCCAGACTACGATATGATTATATATAATGATCATCATGAGACAAAAATACACAAAATAGATCAAAATACAATCACTGGTCATCATGCAGCGTGTCTGATCATGCCATATAATCATACAGAATCATACATACTCCACAAAACATCCGACATCTTATGCCCTCAGATATCATTCACTGTGCAGATGTGGCACTGGCTTGTTGATGAAAAGCTCATAGGTTCCAAGGAATGCCACGATCTGCGCCCATCCCTGACCAGGCACCTCACAAGCACATCGTGCACAGGCAAGCAGAAGCAAGCCTGTGCAACACCTAGTTGACCTAGTCGCTGAAGAATGATCTCAGCAAAAGTCGTACACTTTAAACTTTCTTCACATAAAGTATCAGGGACAAACACAAACAAACATGACACTTGCAACAAAAACAAATCTCAATCTCAACACATATCTTCACACATCTCCACACATCTCCATAAATTCTTTCTCCCGGATTCGGACGCAAATCACCTTCACTGCGTTTTTTTTTTTAGTTCTTTAAAGTTCAATTGCTGCAACAAACATCAAACAGGAGCCATTGTAAATAATCAATCTCGATCAATATCTTGCAAACGTTGCCAGCGCGCGGCTTTTTAAGCTGGAACTGCTGGAGTTGCTGGAGGTTTCCTTTGTTTGGCTTAACGGCAAAGACTCCATGACCCATATCCCAGTCGCTGCTAATTACCGGCTGTCTATCACGTTTCTATCACGTTTCTACATTTGAAGCAAACAGCGCTCTTGGGTTTTCAAGTACAGCGAGCTGACCAATGGGCAACTGCGTATCCTTGAGGGATTTAAGTAGCGCGGATCTAGCGCGGATCTAGCGCGGATCTACCGCCCAATCCACCTTTAGCCTAGTCGTGAAAACTTGAAGAGCAGTTGTTCTCTTATATCTTCACAAGTCAGGTTTGTGATGCTGGCCAACAAGAAGCGGCAATGCAGTTCAAAGAGATTTGCAAAAAGTAAGACTACTGTGGAGTTGCCCGAGCAGGACCAGGAACAACAGTTGCAAGAGAGCAAGAGGCAGATAAAGCATCAGGCCTGACAATGTTTCAATTGCATCTAGCGAACACTAACGCAAACCTAGTGCCTAAGTGCACGGAAACACTTTCATTGCATATATTATATTATATACATTTATATACTATATAGAATAAATACATAATTACACACATACAGGTATATACACATACAGGACTCCGCCTTCCAATGAGATCTGCCATGTATATCACTGCCCAATTACTTATGTCCTTCGGATTTAGTAATTCCTTATAGGCACTTTAGAGCGGATCCCGACACATCTTCACACATCTCCACACATCGTCAACGCTTCACAAATCCTCAAACATCTTCACACATCTTCACACATCTTCACACATCTCCACACATCTCCACACATCTTCACAAATCTTCAAACATCTTCACACATCTCCACACATCTTCTCACATCTTCACAAATCCTTAAACATCTTCACACATCTTCACACATCTTCACACATCTTCACACATCTCCACACATCTCCACACATCTTCACAAATCTTCAAACATCTTCACACATCTTCACACATCTTCACAAATCCTCAAACATCTTCACACATCTTCACACATCTTCACACATCTCCACACATCTCCACACATCTTCACGCCTTGGAGATGGCAGCCAGTCCGTTTGGGATGTCAGCGAACTTGAGGCCGAGCTTGGGAGAGAGCTCTCCAGGAAATTTGAAGTATTCAGGAGTTATGTATCCCATTGCCGCAAACATGGAGATCCTGAAACGCCAGTGAAAAGTTGCCGCAGAAGTCCCAAGGCATCAAATGCACGCAGCTATCCCAACACATCTCACCCTTTCTCAACCTATCCGAACCTCATCCTCACCTATCACTTATCACTATTGCACCATATTGCACTCGCACTCAGAGCCACTTGTACATACTTTTACCAGCGTGACAATCTCCTAGATCCAAATCCAAAATCATCCAACATCCAACGACTGCATGCGGCTTTGGCTCCTGCCATGCTTCAGCTCAACCTCGCGTCGGCGCTTGAATACGGCCAGGTCACCGTCTGAGGAAAGGCCAAGGGGGTCCCAGAAGCCCACCGGAGGCTGCACCTTGGAACCAAAACAAATATATAAATGAATGAGACAAGGAGAATTCGGAAAGGAGAATTCGGAAAGGGATTTCTTTGTCAACCTGTTTCCAAACACAGGGTCTTCTGTCTTCACGTGCAGATGGCTCAAAGCAACTTATCATAGAAAGTTCTGCGAAATGCAAAGCAAACTGAGGGCAGAACACCTAGCTCACCTTCGAACGCACCTCAGAATACGCAGAGATACACCAACAAATGAAAGCTGCGCTTTGGCGGACATGCTTCCAATCTATTCCACTTCACACCTACTCTGACAAACGATGTGCAAACTGACAGTTAAATTGACCGACACCGGATGGGCCAAGTTACGCAGAGGAGAGTCGGTGTAATTTGCCCAATCGCCCCAGGCGGAACCAGTCAGGCCATCCTGGAAAAACCTTGGCTCAACGGCAATGTCCTCAGAACTTGTCAAAACATAAAAGAACATAACATGACCAGATGATCCGTTCGAATCCATGGTTGGAGAAGAGTCATGCGGCATGAACTGTCCAGGAGTCGATTGCCAAAACAAGATGTATCAGAATGAATGCGTGCTCCCATACCAAATAGTGATATGGGACATAGGGGATGCCTAATTGCAAAGCAAGAGGCATGCCGATAATGGCCATCATGGCCAAACGTCCGTTGGCGAGTTCTGCGTTAAGTTTTCGTGTCCTGCGAAAAAACAAAAAAGTATCAAACAGTTAAACACCATGTCGAAATTGACACATGCTCCAAGACACGAGAAGATCATAATAAACATACACTATATAAAGAATATGCAAAGCTGCATGCAGTACCACGTAATTACTGTAGTCATGTAGGAAGGTCCTTGTCTCAGGATCCTGGACGGAGTTGCCGAAGCCGATCAGGCCAAGGCCGAGGTTGCCCTTTCCATAATTGCCTTAAGAAAATGCCAAGAGGCAAACAAACCCAAGCCACGTACAGCGAAAAGCATAAATCCCGCCTGGCTCGGAAGTCTTCTTGTTGACAACCAACTCGAGGAAGCCAGCGAAAGCAAGGATCTGAGCCCAGCCCTCTTTGGGCACCACGGAGAGTGCCTTGATTTAGGGTGGAACAATTAATTGAGCATCAAGATCGCCAAGGTTCAAACCTCTCAAACGAAGCATGAAAATTATGAAACATCTGAAATTAACAATGACTTAACATATTGAAACCCAATGAGAATCTTTGGAAATCACTGAAAATCATGCGGCATCATCTTCGCAGCTGCACCTTCAGGCCGTTTGGCACGTCGCTAAACTTCAGGTTCATGGACGGGGACAAGTAGCCATCAAATCTGTAGTACTCTGGGGCAATGTAACCTTGCACAAGGATGATGAAGAATCCGAAGTTCATGCAAGGTCACTGTCTCATCCAGCTATGCAAACGCACTTGCTTAAGCTTCTGGCCCATGGTTGCGAACATCGCCACCCTGCCGTGCTTGATCTCGGTCTCACGACGCCTGCAAGTGCCCAAATGTTGGCAAAGTTAAAGTGTTTGAAAACATCAAACTCAAACATATCATCCAACTGCTTCTGCCTGCAAGACACGGCATCAGCATCAACCCAGCCTCTTGAAGACCTCAAGATCGTTGTCCTTGGAAAGACCAAGGGGGTCCCAGAAGCCGACAGGTGCCTGGTCACCCACAAGGCCTTCGAAGCCTCAGTATGCTTTTGCTTCGTGCAGAAAATCGGCATCAGCAAAGTTCAAGTATACTGCAGGACACTCATCAAATCTCATCAGCATTTTCAGTTGCTTTCCAAAGCTACCCTAAAGTTATCTAAAGAGTTCTAAACTTGATGCTCAAGAAATTCGAGAAGAAAACAACAACGAACGATTACGAAAACAACTCCGAAACAAATCTCAGGCTGCAGCCGGTCTTTGGTTTCTCCCACTCTGGCAAGGTGTTGTAGCCAGGGCTTTTCACTCCGCTGCGCAGTGGAGAGTCAGTGTACAAGGCCCAGTCACCCCAGGCAGAGCCAGTGAGGCCGTCCTGGAAGAACCTTAGCGTTGCAGAACGTCTCAGAGCGTCTCAGAGGGACTGAGTATGTTCGGGTCAGAAAAGATCAGTCACATCAGCTCAGAGTCAGCGCAGACATAGACTCACAAAACAATCTTCCATTTAATCGAAATCATTCAAAAAGCTTCAAAATATCAGCTCAGTAACATTCCGATGATGGCCATCATGGCCAAACGTCCGTTCGCCAACTCGGCAGAAAGCTTCTTTTTGCGTGCTTCTGGATCTTTGACTGGTCCAAGGAAGCCAAGGCCAAGGTTGCCCTTGCCATAGTTGCCGGGTTCATCTCCGACCTACACATTTACAATTGAGCGCTCGGAAAACTGACAGAACTGAGGCAAACATATTCTGAGGATATGGTACAGGATCTATGGCATATGCCAGAATACGATATGATTATATATAATGATCATCATGAGTCATGAGACAAAAATACACAAAATAGATCAAAATACAATCACTGGTCATCATGCAGCGTGTCTGATCATGCCCTATAATCATACAGAATCATACATAATCCACAAAACATCCGACATCTTATGCCCTCATATATCATTCACTGTGCAGATGTGGCACTGGCTTGTTGATGAAAAGCTCATAGGTTCCAAGGAATGCCACGATCTGCGCCCATCCCTGACCAGGCACCTCACAAGCACATCGTGCACAGGCAAGCAGAAGCAAGCCTGTGCAACACCTAGTTGACCTAGTCGCTGAAGAATGATCTCAGCAAAAGTCGTACACTTTAAAATTTCTTCACATGATGAAGCATCAAGGACAAACACAAGCAAGCATTACACTTGCAACAAAAACAAATATCAATCTCAACACACATCTTCACATATCTTCACACATCTTCACACATCTTCACACATCTTCACACATCTCCACACATCTCCACACATCTTCACAAATCTTCAAACATCTTCACACATCTCCACACATCTTCACAAATCCTCAAACATCTTCACACATCTTCACACATCTTCTCACATCTTCACAAATCCTCAAACATCTGCACACATCTTCACGCATCTTCACAAATCCTCAAACATCTTCACACATCTTCACACATCTTCACACATCTCCACACATCTCCACACGTCTCGACGCATCTCCACATATCTCCACATATCTTCACACATCTTCACACATCTTCACACATCTTCACACATCTCCACACATCTCCACACATCTCCACACATCTTCACAAATCTCCAAACATCTTCACACATCTTCACACATCTTCACACATCTTCACGCCTTGGAGATGGCAGCCAGTCCGTTTGGGATGTCAGCGAACTTGAGGCCGAGCTTGGGAGAGAGCTCTCCAGGAAATTTGAAGTATTCAGGAGTTATGTATCCCATTGCCGCAAACATGGAGATCCTGAAACGCCAGTGAAAAGTTGCCGCAGAAGTCCCAAGGCATCAAATGCACGCAGCTATCCCAACACATCTCACCCTTTCTCAACCTATCCGAACCTCATCCTCACCTATCACTTATCACTATTGCACCATATTGCACTCGCACTCAGAGCCACTTGTACATACTTTTACCAGCGTGACAATCTCCTAGATCCAAATCCAAAATCATCCAACATCCAACGACTGCATGCGGCTTTGGCTCCTGCCATGCTTCAGCTCAACCTCGCGTCGGCGCTTGAAGACGGCCAGGTCACCGTCTGAGGAAAGGCCAAGGGGGTCCCAGAAGCCCACCGGAGGCTGCACCTTGGAACCAAAACAAATATATAAATGAATGAGACAAGGAGAATTCGGAAAGGAGAGTTCGGAAAGGGATTTCTTTGTCAACCTGTTTCCAAACACAGGGTCTTCTGTCTTCACGTGCAGATGGCTCAAAGCAACTTATCATAGAAAGTTCTGCGAAATGCAAAGCAAACTGAGGGCAGAACACCTAGCTCACCTTCGAACGCACCTCAGAATACGCAGAGATACACCAACAAATGAAAGCTGCGCTTTGGCGGACATGCTTCCAATCTATTCCACTTCACACCTACTCTGACAAACGATGTGCAAACTGACAGTTAAATTGACCGACACCGGATGGGCCAAGTTACGCAGAGGAGAGTCGGTGTAATTTGCCCAATCGCCCCAGGCGGAACCAGTCAGGCCATCCTGGAAAAACCTTGGCTCAACGGCAATGTCCTCAGAACTTGTCAAAACATAAAAGAACATAACATAACAACATGATCCGTTCGAATCCATGGTTGGAGAAGAGTCATGCGGCATGAACTGTCCAGGAGTCGATTGCCAAAACAAAATGTATCAGAATGAATGCGTGCTCCCATACCAAATAGTGATATGGGACATAGGGGATGCCTAATTGCAAAGCAAGAGGCATGCCGATAATGGCCATCATGGCCAAACGTCCGTTGGCGAGTTCTGCGTTAAGTTTTCGTGTCCTGCGAAAAAACAAAAAAGTATCAAACAGTTAAACACCATGTCGAAATTGACACATGCTCCAAGACACGAGAAGATCATAATAAACATACACTATATAAAGAATGTGCAAAGCTGCATGCAGTACCACGTAATTACTGTAGTCATGTAGGAAGGTCCTTGTCTCAGGATCCTGGACGGAGTTGCCGAAGCCGATCAGGCCAAGGCCGAGGTTGCCCTTTCCATAATTGCCTTAAGAAAATGCCAAGAGGCAAACAAACCCAAGCCACGTACAGCGAAAAGCATAAATCCCGCCTGGCTCGGAAGTCTTCTTGTTGACAACCAACTCGAGGAAGCCAGCGAAAGCAAGAATCTGAGCCCAGCCCTCTTTGGGCACCACGGAGAGCGCCTTGATTTAGGGGGGAACAATTGAGCATCAAGATCGCCAAGGTTCAAACCTCTCAAACGAAGCATGAAAATTATGAAACATCTGAAATTAACAATGACTTAACATATTGAAACCCAATGAGAATCTTTGGAAATCACTGAAAATCATGCGGCATCATCTTCGCAGCTGCACCTTCAGGCCGTTTGGCACGTCGCTAAACTTCAGGTTCATGGACGGGGACAAGTAGCCATCAAATCTGTAATACTCTGGGGCAATGTAACCTTGCACAAGGATGATGAAGAATCCGAAGTTCATGCAAGGTCACTGTCTCATCCAGCTATGCAAACGCACTTGCTTAAGCTTCTGGCCCATGGTTGCGAACATCGCCACCCTGCCATGCTTGATCTCGGTCTCACGACGCCTGCAAGTGCCCAAATGTTGGCAAAGTTATTTTTTTGACAACATATCAAACATATCATCCAACTGCTTCTGCCTGCAAGACACGGCATCAGCATCAACCCAGCCTCTTGAAGACCTCAAGATCCTTGTCCTTGGAAAGACCAAGGGGGTCCCAGAAGCCGACAGGTGCCTGGTCACCCACAAGGCCTTCGAAGCCTCAGTATGCTTTTGCTTCGTGCAGAAAATCGGCATCAGCAAAGTTCAAGTACACTGCAGGACACTCATCAAATCTCATCAGCATTTTCAGTTGCTTTCCAAAGCTACCCTAAAGTTATCTAAAAAGTTCAAAAGTTGATACTCAAGAAATTCAAGAAGAAAAACCAATGAACGATTACGAAAACAACTCCGAAACAAATCTCAGGCTGCAGCCGGTCTTTGGCTTCTCCCACTCTGGCAAGGTGTTGTAGCCAGGGCTTTTCACTCCGCTGCGCAGTGGAGAGTCAGTGTACAAGGCCCAGTCACCCCAGGCAGAGCCAGTGAGGCCGTCCTGGAAGAACCTTAGCGTTGCAGAACGTCTCACAGCGCAGTATGTTCGGGTCAGAAAAGATCAGTCACATCAGCTCAGAGTCAGCGCAGACATAGACTCACAAAACAATCTTTGATTTAATCGAAATCATTCAAAAATCTTCAAAACATCAGCTCAGTAACATTCCGATGATGGCCATCATGGCCAAACGTCCGTTCGCCAACTCGGCAGAAAGCTTCCTTTTGCGTGCTTCTGGATCTTTGACTGGTCCAAGGAAGCCAAGGCCAAGGTTGCCCTTGCCATAGTTGCCGGGTTCATCTCCGACCTGCACATTTACAATTGAGCGCTCGGAAAACTGACAGAACTGAGGCAAACATATTCTGAGGATATGGTACAGGATCTATGGCATATGTCATATGCCGCATATACACTACCATATAATTATCATGATCATCATGAGACAAAAATACACAAAATATATCAAAATATAATGATCATGCAGCATGTATGATCATGCCATGTAATCATGTATAATCCACAGAGCATCCGACATCTTATGCCCTTATATATCATTCACTGTGCAGATGTGGCACTGGCTTGTTGATGAAAAGCTCATAGGTTCCAAGGAATGCCACGATCTGCGCCCATCCCTGACCAGGCACCTCACAAGCACATCGTGCAAAGGCAAGCAGAAGCAAGCCTGTGCAACACGTAGTTAACCTAGTCGCTGAAGAATGATTTCAGCAAAAGTCGTACACTTAAAAAAAAATTGAAATCTATTCACATGAAGTATCAAGGACAAACACAAACAAGCATGACACTTGCAACAAAAACAAATATCAATCTCAACACATATCTTCACACATCTCCACACATCTTCACAAATCTTCAAACATCTTCACACATCTTCACACATCTTCACAAATCCTCAAACATCCTCACACATCTTCACACATCTCCACACATCTCCACACATCTTCACACATCTTCACACATCTTCACACATCTTCACACATCTTCACGCCTTGGAGATGGCAGCCAGTCCGTTTGGGATGTCAGCGAACTTGAGGCCGAGCTTGGGAGAGAGCTCTCCAGGAAATTTGAAGTATTCAGGAGTTATGTATCCCATTGCCGCAAACATGGAGATCCTGAAACGCCAGTGAAAAGTTGCCGCAGAAGTCCCAAGGCATCAAATGCACGCAGCTATCCCAACACATCTCACCCTTTCTCAACCTATCCGAACCTCATCCTCACCTATCACTTATCACTATTGCACCATATTGCACTCGCACTCAGAGCCACTTGTACATACTTTTACCAGCGTGACAATCTCCTAGATCCAAATCCAAAATCATCCAACATCCAACGACTGCATGCGGCTTTGGCTCCTGCCATGCTTCAGCTCAACCTCGCGTCGGCGCTTGAAGACGGCCAGGTCACCGTCTGAGGAGAGGCCAAGGGGGTCCCAGAAGCCCACCGGAGGCTGCACCTTGGAACCAGCGGTTTCATGCCTTTGCAGGTGCTTGGAGGAAAAAGTTGACATTTGACATTTGTTGCGTCATCATCTTGTGATATTGCTCTCCTCTTTGGTGGAGATGGTTATCTGCTAGATTGGGATAGTGTGGCTTTGGATCCAACGGGTGCTCTTGGATCAAGTGGATCAAGTGGGACGTGGGTATAAGACTGGTCTCTCGCTCTCTCTTTCTAAAGTCTTCCGCAATGTTTCAAGTTGTCATGGCTCCTAGAATTCTAAGTTGTAGTTTCCAAACACTGGTGGTCCTCTATGAAGGAGTCCATTGCATAACTTAAATCTGACATGCACAAGAGCAGGTAACTTCTGGAGGTGTATCATGGTGTTATCCCTCTTGGATGTCTTGGATATCTTGCCAAGAGACGCCCAATTCGCCCTCGAAAGCACGCAGTGGCGAATCTGTGTAATTGGCCCAGTCGCCCCATGCAGATCCAGTGAGGCCGTCCTGGCAACATGTGTCAAGCAAAGAACTCCGCGATGGCTTTTGCTGCTTCCATTTTCACTTCACAAATACTCGGCACATCGGCAGATACTTTGTGAAATTTGTGAAAGTCTTTTGTGCGGACCCAAAATGCTGTGCGCAGTGCGCAAGGCTCCGTTTTCAGCTTTAGAAGTCCCTCCCGAATCCTCACCTGGAAAAACATGCCGATGATGGCCTTAGTCTCCAACTGCCCCGGGCAAACAAGCAAACAAGGAGTCTCACTGTGTATCATTCAATAGGATTTAATAGTAGGGTCCTGAAAAAGAACAAGGAGTCCGTGGATCCGAGCTATCCTGTGCGATGTTCATCGCAGTGCATGCGGAACGAACGCCGCCAAGTTGCAAACATCGCCAAACGCCCATTTGCCAATTCCGCATTGAGCTTCCTTGCGGCTGATTTTCACGCTATTGATCTCGAATGAAACCAAAAAAAAGGTGCATCAGGTCGACGACCTCATCTCCACTCCTCTTTGCCGTGTCTTATCATCATTGAGCGACTAGCTGACTCGCTCATAATTTCCCGTTTCACATCCGATGATTTTTTTTGACAAGATTCTTCTTCCTGACTTCTGGGTCCGCAATGCCAGCATTCATGAAGCCAATGGACCTCTAAGGGTGGCACGCACATTCAGACCCTAGTGGCCCTAGTGACCTAGTGCATCTACCCCACTGTGTTGAAAATTGTTCCTTAGAGATTTTGTTGATACATGGATCATGGATCTTGCAAGAGCGATGCTGTCAAGATATATGTTCCGTTCTTTTCTTTGACACACACGCACACACACCAAACATCAACGGGCAGTGTACTCAAGGGTGGGCCACCTTCAACAGAACATGACCGAAATGCATCGCCTTCTTTTCCAGAAATGTGGTGGTTTTCTCTAACACGTTCCGTACCGGACAAGCTTCCAAGAGCATTCTTCATCAAGATTGATTGTGCACTACATCCGGACGAAATATGGGAATTGAAGAAAAGCAGCATAGTGTCTCTAACTGACAAAACACACTGTAGTCCAAGGTTTTTTGTTCAAGCTCACAACAGCATGAAAACCTTGTCAGCACCTGCCTAAGACCGAGGAAACCTGCGCCGTAGTTTCCAGGCTCGTCGTTGACTTGTTCGTTGTAGACCTTTTTTGAGACGGTTCTTTCACATGATTTCGTCACAAATTTGTCATTTGAGTGACCTCACTGGCAAGGTGAGCTGCCAAGCTGCATGAGAAATTCGAAAAACCGATGGTCAAGAATTCTGCATTACTTTCCCGGCCTGAAGCAATCTTTATGATCTGGATTGGTTACAGTACATGGTTTAAGTCGTTGTGGGACCAAGAATTTTCATAGACTAATGACTAGATGATCATAGGTTGATCGTCATCAGTGTATCGATTGTGTCAATAGCTTCGTCTGCCCCGCTTCAGTTCGCAACTTCAATCGACAATACTTTGTTTGAGGCACGTTCAGTTCCACAATGCCAGCGAAGCCCACAATCTGCAACCATCCCAGTGCTGGAACTTTGGAGAAGGCAGACAATCCATTGGGAACTTCAGAGAACTTGATGTCCTGAATAGCTCAGAATGCTGTTGCAGCAACACTACCCTGGCCCTCTACTGCGCAACACTGTGCAAGAGGTGGAACGACAAAACATGCCTATGCAAACTGCAAGCTGCAAGCTCAATACCATCAGTGAATCAACAAATCAGAGGATGAATCAAGATAAATTGATTGACGGCCCAGAAGCGAGAAATTTGGAGAGATAGCCAGGAAAGCGCCAGTACTCTGGGAGGATGTATCCAATCGTGGCGAACCTGCAAAATTCCAGGAAACACGACTACCACTGAGTCACTCATGCAAACACTGTCTTTGAAGGCTGGTCTTACAAACTTCTCAGCCTCTTTCAAACTTGAGATGCAGATCCATTATCATGGAAGGAGTAGCAACCGCTTCGGGTAAGAAACATGTATCCGAACCATGTCCAAACCAACCAGCAATTCGAAGGGTATCAGAGTGCAATGTGCCACCATCCCATACGAAAAAGATGCAACGTGAAGCCAAGAGCAAAACCAGCATGATCAACTAGAAAGAACCTTAACCAGCACAATGCTGCACCTGTGCTATGGTATGACAATATGATACAACATGATACAAATGGAACGATAATACAATATACCCTACCAGTATGTCCCGTTGCAACACAACCTGCAACATTCATGAGGCCTGAGTGCACGGTCTCGTACTCTAGCCACAAGTTTCTGCATCCAAGGAGCATGGCGACACGGCCGTGCTTCAACTCAACTTCGCGTCGGCGCTTGTAGTCCGACAGGTTTCCTTGTCAAAGACGGGCTATGGAAACCAAATAATGTCAACCCTGGATTAATAAACCCTTAGGCTGTTTTATTGGGAAGGTACCATTTACGTATCAAATCATGACTACTGGGGGAATACCCCCCTAATTAATCAACCAAGGTTTATTAATCCGGGGTTGACATTAAACCGATAGTAGCAACCGGTATTAAGCAGTATGGAAACTCAGTATTGATTCCCTCCCCTCAAAGAAGGCTCTCGTCAAGAGGTGCAGTTGATTCGTGTAGGGAAAATTGGTGAAAATTGTATAGCGTCTATAGCGTCTATTGCTGGCAGGCAACCGCTCACCGAAAGGCCAAGCGGATCCCAGAATCCAACAGGTGGCTGAACTCCTGACAGATTTTCCAAGAGCCACAACAGACAAACCGCAACATACCGCAACTATGCAAAACAAATGAAAAGGGAAGGTACCAAAATGCCAGGCATTCATAGGCAAGCTTGATTGTCTGTCTACATGATGTCACGCAAAGGGTGGGGAAGCAAGAGATCCAAGCCGACAGTGTCTGTCATCTCTCCTGGTGAAATAGGTGTCTTTTGATTTGTTTGTGGAATCTGGAAACAGGAGATTGGTTGAACAATTGTTTCACCACTTCATTAATCAGGTGGTGAACACCAAAGGCCCCCGAGGAAAGGAAATTGAAGTCACTGAGCAGGACATCTTAACACAGCTATTATGGTACAACCTGGTGCGGCAAAACCCCTCTGGCAAAGCCAGGCCTGTTTCGTTCTCGAAGGCTCGCAAAGGGGAGTCGGTGTACAGGGACCAGTCACCCCACGCAGAGCCTCCAGCACAGACTCAGAGGATCTCAGAGGTATCTAGCTAATTCATGCTAATCACTGAACTCTCACTTGATCCTATGATTTGCGACTCATCTGGAATGCTCTTGGAACTGGTGGTGCGAGGGGCTAGTCTGCAACGAGTTTCCTTCACAAGTGTGTGAAAAGCAAAAAAGTGTAGATGTTGAGTTGAAATCACCTGTATGAACAGAATGATTGTCATACTAGCGATACAGTGAGGAGACATGGAAGAATCAGAAACTCGCCCTACTGCGCCTGTGAGACCATCTTGGTAAAACATTCCAATAATGGCCATCCTGCGCGGGGTCGTTTTACTTTTCATTCGGGATGGTGCATCTGGCAGAATTAAGCTTCTGCTTTGGACATGACAACAGCCTAATACTGCAAGACGTTGCAAGACTTGCTTCAGCTGGACATGTTGCGAAACGCTCGAGAAGGAAAACAAACAAACAGGGCTCTGTTCTTGAGCTAAAATTCACTACGCTTATAACTTATAATCCTCAGTTTGTACGTACCAAAACTGGCTTAAACCCGGGTCATGGCAAGTCTTCCGTTGGCCAGTTCGGCGTTGAGCTTCTGTTTCTTCTGCTCTGGATCGGCGGAGGTCCTTAGTTGAGATTTAAGATGATTTAAGTATATAGAACCTTGCCAGGCTTCGCATCCGTTTCTGATCATCTGTAACCGGACATGAGTTGTTTCTGCCTACCTGGAGCTAAAGCTAACAACATTTATTGTAATAATATATATATATGAAAATGATTGAAAATGAGGAATGCCACCAGTTGTCCCCATGCAGAAAGAAAACTCTGCCAAGCATCAGCACATACCAACCGAAATCACCTACATGGCAGGCTGCAAAAAGGAAGCTTAGCTCCATGTGCTGCATCAAGAGTCCATGAGTCATCCATCGTACTTGCAGAAAAGTACTGTCAACCTCGAATTTATGAACCCTGGTTGATAAATTTGGGGAGTCCCCTACAATAATGATAATTGGCAACTAAAATGGTACCCCCACAATTACAGAGCCTAGTGGTTTATTATGGTTGATTACGCTTAGAGTTTAGACTTTTAGACAGGCATGAGTCTGCCATAAGTCTGCCATGAGTCATGAGACGAGACAGGAGCTTTCACAGCTTTCACCCTGTGACATCCAGCCTGGTCTGCCGCTGGCGATGTCAGAGCCTGGGCCACGGCTCACCTCGCACCAGCCCATGTAGAGTAAGATCTGCGTCCAACCACCAGGCGGCACCTCTCAGGTACTTGACAAAGTGACAAAGGAGGCTTCATCTCCTACTTGTACAGTATACTTTCACGATCTTTCACGTATGTTCCCTATGTATATTTTGCGTCGTGGCATCATGCGATGGTTTCAAGATCAGAGCAATCCAACACAGGTAGTATTGGACAATGTCTGTAAGAACAAAATGACTTGCACATATTCATGGGCAAAGAGCAGCAAACGCGACAAGATCCACGGTTTGCCACAAGAAAAGACACTTGCGAAGAAAGTCAGTCTGACAAGTTTCCATGATCTCTTACATGTAAAAACATCAGTGAGTAGCGCACTTTGTAAGCTCTGTGCGAACTAAACCACATGTGTCACATGATCCAAATGCATCTCTCTGCTCGCCTTGGAGATTGCTGCCAGGCCATTTGGCACATCTGCAAACTTCAATCCAGCTGATGGTGAAAGATAACCAGGAAATTTTCCAGCAATTTCTGGAGTGATGTAGCCTTGGTTTTTGAGCGCGGTCACATCCATGAAGAATGATCCTATATAATTTTATACTCATGTAAATTGTAAATCATATAATTTATAATTTCCAAGCAGCAAAACGCCATGTGCAACTAACAGGTCGTACTCCATTGTTCACTACAAAAGAAATGACCAATTTGTTTCGACTCTTGTGTTTCAACTTTGGCAGTTGATCAGGCCTACAGTAGGTCATCGCACGTCTATATACAGTAGTACATGCTGTAGTACATGCTGGTACTGCGGTACTGCAGGGCACTAGTCTTGGAAATTTCAGATACAATTGCAGTCAGAAGCAACCCATAGTCGCCAGCATAGCAATCCTGCAGAGAGTTTGCAAACGCTTGGATGTTTTATACGTCATCGGTTCACCCAAAGAGAAACCCCAATATAATTCGGTGCTGTGGATCCTAAAAACACTGGAAAGAGATATGCAATCAATAAATGTTGTTTCGCGTCACATCGTGTACGTACCGAGTATGTGTGCCGATTCGCTTGGAGTTGTGCTTTGTGCATGCCCAGTTAGAATTCTACTCATGCTGAGTCCATCCCCCTCCGGCTCCTTCCATGCTTAAGCTCCACTGAGCGTCTTCGCTTAAATGCCTCTTTGAGACAACTTTGAGACTTGAAAAGACTTGAGTTATCAAGTGAATCAAGGGATTCGTTATCCACTACAACGGCAAGAGCTGAGGAATGAAAGCGGCACCTTTGCCATCTTTTGCCATCTTTTGCCCATCGCTTTCATAACGCTTTCATAACAACTGTTGGCGAAAGAGCCACGGTTCCTACATGTTCCTACTACATGTTCCTACATGTTCCTACATGTTCCTACTGATCAGTTCTAGGTCCTATAGGTGCCCAAAGCCTTTCACTTGTGACGCTCGCTGGAGGCCTCAACGTCGCCATCCTTGGAAAGCCCTAGAGGATCCCAAAAACCGACAGGTGGCTGAACACCAAGCTCCTGCAGCAAATGATCCGCACGACAAGAATTTGTTGGCAGAATTTCATAGAATTTCTGTTTCCATCAGGAAGCAACCCCACGGCAACACAGGGAACTCAAAAGAAGATGCTGAATGGAACATGCACGTAGGGTTATATTATACGTATAATATAGGGGCAGAATGGTGCATGCAAGTGTTTTCGACTTTGAAGGTATGCATTTCTCATTGTCATTGTTCCTCCCCCGCTCCTGCTCGAACGCCTGCCGTGCGCATGTGGACTCCTATTGACCCTTCTGGCTCTTTGTGCTTAACCGTCTTTTCTTCAATGTGATTTCATGATTTGTTTTGATATCTTATGTCCATAATTCATGAATAAGTTAAGGCAAGCCTTTTGAAGTCAAGGCGTCGACATGTTTTACATAAATACATAAACAGGGCTTGGAGGGCAGCCCGCTCACATTGATAATCATTTGGACAAACAACACATCACAACACAATCTCCACAGCAAACCACATTTGAAGTGAATATAATATTAAGGCTGCGCGCGACCTTGTCACAAAGCATACTCCACGACTCCACATATATCCCACATATCAAACAACATCTCATGCAACATAGATCAACAATGATCAACATCAACATAGTACTATGCAAAACATTGCAAAACATTGCAAAACATCATCTGTGTATATCTGTGTATCGTATGGCCCAGCCCAGTCGCCCAGTCGCGCCTTCAAGGCGGTCACAGTGGTTTTGCTAAACTTGGCACCAGGCCGAGTGGCCAACACTACGCCCGCGCTAGCTGCCACCACCGAGGCTGCTGCATACGAGGCAGTCGAGGCAGTGGAGGCGGAGGTGGAAGCTAAAACGGGGGAAGTCTGCGCCTCGCATCGCACCGCAGTCTGACTCGGCCCGACCCAAGTCTATCCACGTCTCTTGGCGTCTCTTGGCGTCTCTTGGCGTCTCTTGGCGTCCCTTGGCGTCTCTTTGTTTTTCATTTTCTAACCCGCCTGTTGAGTCCTCACTCCACGCAAGGCGCTGGACTTAGTGCTGCCTGCAAGGTCTTGGGAACCATAACCAAGCAATGTAATGAATATGGAATGCTTAAGAACGATAACAATGTTACAATCTTGGCTAATGTTCTTATTCAGGTCCGAACTTCGTGAACAAAAAAATGTCGGCTGGGGATTCTATAGTCTGCAATAAATCTTTGTAAATGTGATAGACTTGATCAGTTCCACATAGTTCCACCACGTCACGACGAAACTCGCCTGTTCCGGCAATAAAGGCGCTACCAGCCACTGCACCTGTTCAGATTCCAAGATTTGAACATTATGAACATTTAATCAATCCAAATGTCGTTTGACATCTGTTGTACGGCATTCAATATCTTACCAAACACATCCAAACACATATGGCATGTCGATGTCTGTGTTTGTGCCATTTTGACCATTTTCACCGTCTCTGAGTCCACTGTACATGGATGCCACAATCATTTTCCAAATTCAAGAACTACACAAAATGTTTGCAACCATGACGGTTCTGCAAACTATGAGTTCATTTGGCCAAATATGACAAACCACGATGAAAAAAACAAAGGCAATCCAAAAAAGATTATCAGGTTACCATGTCCCGTCACCAATGCTGCGCTGGCCACTCGCCAAACCAATGGCAGCGCCGCACTTCTTTGAAGCCATCCTGCAAAGAAACAGGAAGCATTGGTTGCATGATAGGTCAATGTCATTCATGTTTTCCCTGAGATTGTTACATTACAGTAATTTGATATCTTCAAAACAACACAAGTGCAGGTTCCACAACGGGCCTTTGGGCGGAGGAACCTACCGAAGCACAAGGCGCCTAAGACGCCTGCTTATGGCGGTGCTAGGCGCCAAAAAAACTGCAGACGGCGCGGCGAAAGTGACTGGACTATTCAAGTCACTTCTGTAGTTCGAGGTGTCTGAAAATAATGTTTTGATTCCATGTTTATTTGACAGAAAATTCCGCAAATATTCCATGACCTTGTCTTCTCCAAGAGGAAACCTTGAAATTTCGGAGGTTTGCAGCAAAGGTTTGCGGTTGATCGCGTCACTACATATTTTCCAAATTTGAGGGCCCCGCTTTCAAGGATTCTTGAAGTTCCTGCACGATTTGTTTGTTGTCCGTGCCTGCACCACGTATTTTTTGGCACGCCCTGCCCCCCCCCTTTTACCATGTTTAAGCATCGAAGAGGAGTCTGATCCAGAAATATCCAGAATCTATTTCAACATTCATGAATGGTCTCAAGCAAACCATGTCCAGCGTGTCTCACAGGCAGTATGACTGTATCTGCAATACATGTTTGCATTTGCACGTGAAATTATAATCAAAATTGTCCCTCTGCAAATTCAGTTTTGTTCAATGTGGTGTGCTAAGAAGCTGGGCACAACCTCAAAACCACGTGGCAGTGCGCAGCATGGACCCACGTATATCCTCCTTATTTCCTCGCTACTTTCTTGGCGGTGTCACGTTTCACAGATCATCTACTTCCTTGCCTTTCATCCAAGAACTCCATCGCTTTAGCTTTGGAAAAGCCTGCAGACCAGCTTGACAGAGAACCCTAAATCTCATTTTATCCAACTTTTCCTGCACACTTCCCAGCCGTCTACCATAGGCCGCGTGCCAATTTTCAGCTGTGTGTCAAATCAGACCAAAAGATGAAAAAGCCTCCGCCACAGATTGTTCGATGTACTTGACCTCAACCAGTCACGCTGTGCAACAGACAGGCACAAGGCAACAGGATGCAACAGTATGCAACAGTGATCTCCCAAGATCTTCCCTCATGTGCGAGGATTTTTCCCGATCTCTGTGATTGACTTTCCTGACTGCGGCAATGCCTTCTAAGGGATTTCCAAGAATCCTTTTCTTGAAGCAAATCAACCATGCTCAGTCAAAGCAGTCAGAAAGACATCAAACAAACAGAAACTAAGTACTTCGAGATCGTAGAGGCTGGGAACGTTCTTAGCACGAACCTAACGCTGCAACTAAGACCACTGCGCCATAGTATTCCAATGTCCTGGTTTGCAACCATGATATTGAAGTGGGTGGCCGCAAAAACCAACGAACAAAATCAAAACCCGTCCGGGAGCCAAGGCAGCCAAGGCAGCTCTCACCAACCCCTCAATTTCTCAATAGTGATGTGTGGCATTTCCAACTGTTTGAATTATTACATATTATTACGTGTTTCCAGATCTTCATGGAAGTCCTAATCTTCTTTCCGGAGTCTTTCAAGAGCTTGTCACCTCTGCACGTTTGAGGTGCAACTCTTCTCGACTGCAAAAGTCTCTGCTGTTTCACCAGGCAACAGTATCACTTCAGAACACACTTCTAGCTATCACTTCAGAACACACGGCAAACACAGGGCATCATGGGAATGGACAGGCGCAGCACTTTGGGACATTCTGTCGCCATTCAGGTTTTCTTTTACAACTGTTTTTCAAAGGTTGGAAAGGCTCATTCTCTAGTGGCTCTTACTTGTCTCTTGGCTGCTCTTGGGAGTCCTTATGCTCAACTAGCCATTTAGGGCTTATTTGGGGGGGCATTCTACTTACATCATCATTTCTACTTACATCATCATTTCAGCTTTCTCTCAAAGGTTGGACGACTCATTCCACTCTAATGTCTCTTACTCGTCTCTTCCCTTGGGAGATCTTATGCTCAACTAGCCATTTAGGGTTCATTGGGGGGGGGTCGGGTTTGTTCTGACTACAAGCCTGGTCCTCTCTCAAGCAGGAGAGGAGCAAGCCAGCCCCAAGAAACCCACAAGGAGGCAGGACAGCAAAAGCCTGAACTCTCCCCACCCTCCCGGCAGTCAGAACCGAACAGTCAACAAAATGAACCTTTAGAACCATGATGATGAAAGATGAGGAATGATGAATGAGCTTGTTGATGTATAATGACTAATGAATGTATGATGAGTGATACTGAAACTATTTTCTCATATGTGCATCTGTATACCCCCATGAGATTTATTGAGATGACGAGTCGTGATTTGCGACGTCTTCATACAGCGTCAAGAAAGCAAGGCCTGTCGTATCTTCGCTGCAAGACAGGAACTGAAGCTCAAAGTCAAAGAGGCAGAAGATAGACCCAACAAGTCGCCAGTCCACGTTAAACCTTCGTCGCTCCAACCTTTTCTACAAACATAACACTTGCTTCAAGCATCTCCAAGCAAAGGCCTCGAAACAGATATTTTCTGCAGAGGGTGATGTTTCGATAGACGAGGATTGGCTGCCCCTGCCGCCAAAAGAAAGAAATAGAAGAACTTGAGAAGTAGGAGTTTTGTACGAGTTCAGATACAAGCAAATCACCTAGAAGTCCTGTATAATTCATAACAAGTTCAAGTTATGTGTCACAGCTCATGTATAACAACTCCCGTGTCACAACTCCTGTGTAAGAACTTGTGTAGATTGATGTGTGTGATGTATGTATGTGATGTTGATAAAGTTGATGTAGATTATATAAGCTGATGTAGATGATGTTGATCAAGCTGTGTTGATGATGTATGTAGTGTAGATGAAGTTGATATCGATTATGTAGAATATGTAGAGGAGGTATGTGGCGTAGATGTAGATGATGTAGATGATGCAAAGGATATAGAAGAGATGTACAAGATGCGGTGCTGTAGGCGATGCAAATGAAGTTGATGTAGATCATCTAGCTGACTGAGGATCATCTTCCGCGTTCTAAAGCGATGGTTTTCTCCATGTTTTAGAGCGAGGGCCTTACTGTTTCAGATGTTTCAGATAAATGTGAGGCCCTCAGGGCCGGGCCCACTTCAGGAGGGGCCACTTGTGCGATGTTCATGTTGTTGGGCCTGAGCACAGCGTGTAAAACAGCTGTACGAAAGCTGGACAGCTTTGGTGCAGGCTCTCAACCTCTGGCATCACATGGCATCACAATTTGTACATCCGATCTGCACAAGTCTGAGGATATCGCTCGACGCGCTCAATCAAGGAGGATAGTAGTTCGGGGTCCTGCCAACAATTTATGACCACTTGGCCACAGGGACCTCCACATCGTTCGGAATATGAACTTGTTCAGGCCAACAAGAGATCACTACGACCACAACTCTGTCTTGTGTAGCCATCCAGCACGCACGCAAAATCAAAATGGGACTGTGAATGATTATGAGAGGACAAAAAGCGATGCCATAGTATGTGCTAATGTCAGTCCGGTTTCTCGATCAGTCTGTCACCTGTGCGAAACGCAGGAGAGGACTTATCAGCGCAGTGCCCAAAAAAAAGCAGGCAAGGGTGAATGGGCTGCATGACAAACAATTCTCAAGGCGTCAAACAATGAGGAATACACCAGAAAGATCTAGAAAGGTCGTTTGAAGGGCTAGTCGCAGAAGGGATGGCAAAGTATGCATGCCACTCATGGGGCTTCAGAACTCAATGGAAAGCAAATAGGATGTGAATGTACGTATGTATGTATGCATATATGTATGTATGGAGACAATGGATATGTATGAATGGATACAATGGATATGTATGAATGGATACAATGGATATGTATGAATATGTGAATATATGTATAGACATATATATATATATATGTGTGTGTGTATGTGTTTATACATGAATGTATATGTATTTATATGCATGCATGTATATTATAAGTATGTATATTGTATATCATATGCATGTATGTATGTATGTATGTATGTATGTATGTATGTATGTATGTATGTATGTATGTATGTATGTATGTGTATGTGTATGTGTATGTGTATGTGTATGTATATGTATGTGTATGTGTATGTGTATGTGTATGTGTGTCTGTATGTATGTATGTATGTATGTATGTATGTATGTATGTATGTATGTATGTATGTATGTATGTATGTATGTATGTATGTATGTATGTATGTATGTATGTATGTATGTATGTATGTATGTATGTATGTATGTTGTATGTATGTTGTATGTATGTATGTATGTATGTATGTATGTATGTATGTATGTATGTATGTATGTATGTATGTATGTATGTATGTATGTATGTATGTATATGTGTATGTGTATGTGTATGTGTATGTGTATGTCTATGTATATGTATGTGTATGTGTATGTGTATGTGTATGTGTATGTATATGTATATGTATGTGTATGTGTATGTGTATGTATATGTGTATGTATGTATGTATGTATGCATGTATGTTTGTATGTGTATGTATGTATGTATGTATGTATGTATATGAAATGTATGTATATATATGAAATGTATGTAACTGCATGTATGTAACTGTATGTATATGATTTGCATGTATATTAGTTGCATGTATATATATTATTGTATGTATGTGACTGTATATATGTGTAACTATGTATGTATGTACTCAGGTACGCTCTCACAAAAATACTGTAATAGTCAGCCACAGTTGACAATTGCTTGCGCTATCCCATCGCAGCTCTTCCTTCTACGGATTTTGGCCTGACAGAAGCTTCTCTCGAGGCAACCGCGTCATGGCCTGTGCAAACTTGCCAAATGGTTGCCCCAGTATCACATTAGCGGCGCGTGCCGGCATTCAATGTTACGGACAAGCCTTCAAGCAGTTTGGGCAAATTCTAAGTCAGCTTCGTTAGACCCGAGGGACTCATAGATCCTACTGCGTAGCTTATCACTGCTACGTTCTCTCAGCTCCACAAGCCTCTGCCAAGTTGGATACGGTCCTTACAGCATTGGAAGCGAAAGCTTTGCCAAATGAAAGGGTTTCAAATGGTTCAACCAAATCCAGTTTGGTTCAGGCATAGAATGGTGAATAAGATATGCAACTCCTTTGGGGCCTAAGTCCAGTTCTCAAAGGCATCATCTTGCTGCTTCCAGTCCCACTTCAACTTCACCATGTCCTCGGGGCTTGGCAATGGTCTGAAAGACCGACATAGAATACAGTATCTTACAGAAGTAAGCCATCAGATTTCGATCCAGGAAGGTTTGGGCAGCCTGAATGCTCTTGTAAAGCTCCATGTCAACTCCGGCTGCTCGCATTGCAGCGAGATAGGCAAAGAAAACATCCAAGATCACCTGATGTTGGACGTGTGACCGCAGTGGATGGTTCCATTTGATTTCAGACAATTGCAAATGCCGGGTGTTGGCAATAGACAACAAAGCGGCAAAGCGCTATTCGAGGTGGATGTGGGTCACAGAATGACAGACCATGTGCAAGCGTCTCAGTGCTTAAAGAAAGTGAGGAAAAAAAGGTTCTTCTATTATCTTTATATATTGAAAAAATCTGAACCGGTGCATATGGAATCATGTACAATGCTCGCGTCTATATACATTGGATGAATGTATCCCAAACGTTGGCCACATTCTTGCTACTACAAGTCTCACAAAATAGAACTACGCATAAAATTGCAAAACTACACATGCATCTGCATACCTTATGAGAATTCATTTGCTACAAGTGGAACGTCTCATGTGATGTGTGAGATCGAATCATTGTGCATGCATCGCACCTGCGGGTGCTTGAAGCCAAGTTTTGTAGTCTCAAAAACCTGGAAGCGGAAGTGTAGCTTCCTGTGGAAAAGATCTGGCCAAGATACAAAAGAATAAAGAGTGCAAGCATTCTTGTTCTGGGCCAGGACATGCCAACACATAACTCGCATGAACGCGCTTCCATGCATCTACATGGTCTTGACTGCCAAACAGTCAGCATGCTTGGCATCTGAGGAATCTGGCCACCATGCACATGGTACCGGTAGAGTCTGTCTGCTCCTGAATCGGGAAAATAAAAGCATGTTCAAACAAGTTCAGACACACTTTCACGAGCAAGCCATAGCACACCAAGTTCACATGCATCAAACAGGGTTGTTAGTACCCCGAATCTCATGCCCAAGCTGGATGAATCACTTGGGACAAGGCCATAAGCAGCATGATGGACAACATGTGGCCTAGTATGGCCTAGTACTAGGCAAGGGATGTGAACCTCCATGTCACTGCAGTGGGAGGGACCTTTTGATAGGACATTGCAAGACCGGAAGTCAGCGGGTGTCTGACTGGTCAAGTATGTGATCAGCACTGATAGGAAGCACAGCGGCTGGCAAGGGAATTACTCTACTGCTGCTGCCCCCAGTTGAGAAAAGACGGAATGATAGACAAATAGGCAGGTAGGCAGAACGTAGGAAGACAAATGTATGGATGGATTAGATTAGATTAGATCAGAGGAGATAAGATTAGATTTAGACTATATAGACTGCGTAAGATGACATTAGATCGGATTAGATTATATCAAATGGAAGTAATTTGGATTTGATCAAATGAGATAGATAATAGATAGGTGAACATGACAAATGCGCACAGAAAACATACACAAATATGAATTCAGTGTATGAATTCCGAGTCCAGAAGCCCTTGCCACAATATGGCCCTACCTCCATCCCTACATCGGCAATCAGGCCAAGCTTGTCGCTCAGCACTTGCTTCAAAGAGTTCACACCTTGAACCCATGCACAGTGACACTCCTCTTGCCATCAGAGAGAACACTTTCAGTTGCTTCAGACAGGGTTGAGAGGGCCGGGGTGTCTGCTCAAATCATTATACACACAGAAGACCACAGGAGCATATATGCCGATATTTGCTCATGTACGCTCATATGCTATGCAAAAAATTGCGCAACACAGCTGGTTGCAATATAATCGATTGGGAAGAATCTGGTATGGGCATTCAAAACCAAACGTCACAAAGTCATACTCTACCTATATACCGTATATACCCCTATCCACCTGGAGCGAATCTGAGCCAAGGTGCCACCGTAGTTCACGACATAGTTCAAATACGAGAGCGGCTGTGCTTTGTACTCCCTGCAGGGTCTTCTTCAGTTGCTCTTTCTTAAACAGACAAAGGAAACTACTGTGAACTGTGGGGCCACACTAATTCTTGAACATAGCAAAGACGAATGGTAAGATCGTTTGAGAGTACTAGATCCCAGGGCATGTCTGTGGTGGTCGGCCCTCATAGACCTCTTCCAAAATGAGGATAAGTGCGAAACAGAGTAGTCTTCAATTTCGCAGACCATATCAGACCATGACATACGGTCTTCAATTCAGATACACACATGCATGCTGTGCAAATAAGTTTGATCAGGTTCGATCCACCTGTTGAGAGGTGGCATCTGGAAATGCAGCCACAGGGAGCCAATGGCTTCTGTGCCTCAGCCATGAAGATATGAAGATCAAAAAATCATGCACATTTGGCAGCGATATGTTTGGCAGCGACACGGGGTCTCTCTCTCTCTCTGTCTCTCTCCCTATTTCATCACTTGTTTCACCGTTTCACCCACACTTTATAGCAGGGGCATCTTCCATTGCAAAACACCTTCACTAAGTGTGTAATGTTGACTTGAACTGGGGCTGGCACCCTTCACCAAGAGGCTCTTGCCTGCCACGCATGGAAATCCAGTACTATGTCCAAGCTGCGCTTACATCGAATTGAAAGACCTTGATGCAGTGCAACTCTGCTCTCACATGATCTCAGCCCGGTGCCCATTCGCGAGGCCGGAAACGGATTTGGCTCTTCGAAGCCTGAAAGTTTAGATTGGTTATCTCATGCAAGGGCCCAGTACATCACCGTATGTTTACTATGAAAATATGTATACATATATATATATATATATCGTGCAGTACGTGTGTATATATATATGTGTGTGTATGTGTTCAGAACCGGTTGTAAACCGATTAACCGCTTCATTCTGTTTGTCCAAGAGGTTCCTGAAGCGCAAATATTCAATGCATGACATAATTAGATCCAATGCATTCCGGTGCAACCTAATGCTGGGGTGGCAAGCAACGTTGGTTCTTCCACACTGGGCTCCCAGCTTCGTTTGCTTTCAGCACAAGCTTTGACCTTAGCTGTGCATCCTGAAACTTCTAGGCTACAAGCGGCTACAAGACAAGAGTTGATATATGAAGCTCCGTCCTTGTCACTTCTCGGATTTAGCAGCCCGGTCTTCAAATGCAAAACACTCATAACATGGATACACGGATCCACCTATGATTCTCACATATTATGCGGTTGGACTATCAATGTGTGATCAATGTGATGTGGCAAATTTGCAGGGTTTGTTCGAAGCTTGAGAGGGGCTGCCTACACTGCCCGATTCCTTGGCTCCACGGGCGTTCTAAATATAGGTCATACAGGGAGACAAAAAGGTGGCAGGGACTGACCCCTGGCATTGCTTGGTCTCCCCAACTCCTTTCGGCAGATTTTGGAAGCCCGCCTGCGACGAACAATCAGAGCAGGGTCAGCCATCAATGCAAGCACTTTGGCCAAGGCAGAAATACGCGCTGAAGACAAGAGGAGAGCAAGCCTTTGACACGAGCTCCAACTGCTCTGCAAGCTTCTGAGGGCCAAATGTCCTTAAAGTGAGGGACCAAGGATGGCCAAGGTACGACTATTGACTTTATTGATGCTCAGCCCGGCCAACAGTTTCGGCTCACAGATCCATTTCCTGTGTCTCCGCACACCAGGCGCATCTGTTCGGGGCAGTAGCGATTCTTAAAGTAAACCCTGGACAGCAGGTTGACATACGGACATACTGCCACAAAGTTGAAGTCGCAGCTTCGAAAAACTTCAAGGTCCACATCTTTGTGTTATCTGCATTTGAATTTCTATGACCGCTGGATTGTCAAAGAACATGCTTGGATGGATTTGCAAGGCAAAACCCAGGCTATGGCTTCAATGCATCCACCGGCGAGGTGCCATTTCCTGGGTCTGAGTTTGTTGTTCCTGCTGTTGGCAGGGGATACGTAAAGGACATCAGCCTATGCCAATGCACCCGCATATATGTCTTCAGTCTATACTTAGTGCCCGGCGACTCGGTATGTCGTAAAGAGTCTCCATCTGCGTCAAGGAGACAGCGTGTTTGAATTTGCAATACTCTTTACATGTCTGTTTATGTATCTATATATATATGTGTGTGTGTGCGCGTGTGTATCAGCATCAGCATTGATATTATCATTATTACAAATATTGTTGGTATGTGTTTATAGTACACACACATAATATACATATATATACATAGATATGTATATATATATATGTGTGTGTAACGTATAAATATATATATACTGAATGTATATATATATTGAATGCGTATATAAATATATTGAATGTATATGTCTATGTATATGTCTATGTATATGTCTATGTATATGTCTATGTATATGTCTATGTATATGTCTATGTATATGTCTATGTATATGTCTATGTATATGTCTATGTATATGTCTATGTATATGTCTATGTATATGTCTATGTATATGTCTATGTATATGCATAATGCAATATATGTAGTATATATGTGTATATAATATATGCACCACAAAAAAGTCAACAAAACGCGAAGCCCCGGATGAGGCGCCCACATTTCCAGTGGCAAATCTGCCAGCCACACTCTCAGGGTTGGCCTGCATTGGGCGTCGAGCGAAGTACTGAGTTGCCTTTTTGTAACCATTCATGTATATAATATATACATATGTGTGTGTGTGAAACGATTTCACAAGCCCACAGGGCCACAAGGCAATGATCCTTTGGGGTTGTAGTATCGCGTGAGTCAGTGAGGCCTGGGTTCGGGTTTGTCCAGTGAACAAACATTACCATCCACTTGCTCAGGTTCTGAGGCGGTAGGGGAATGTACCGGAGTCAACCTGCTCCTCCAAAAGCTCGAAGATGCGCCGAAGGTTGCTTTGGACATTTTTTTGGTGCTCACCTCCGATCCACAATGTCCAAATATACCAGGAGATACCACAAGCTGCCAAGAGTGAACTGAAAAACATTACATCAAAAATCCATCGATCTGCAACGCAAAACAAAGAGCTTCAGGCTCCCTGAGGAAAGTGCTGTTAATGGCTTGGACTTCCTTCTTCACAAACTCCTTCAGTCAAACATTCCAGCAACATTCCAGTCACACACACATCACACTCATTCACACCTCAGCTGAACATGGCACTATTCTGTGCTGTGTCATGTTGTGCCCATTTTCAATGACCAAGCGGGTGTGATAGGAACGCCTTTGTAGATAGTCGCTACGTTCAAGTCTTTACTACCTTTAATATACTCCTCATTATTGGTCATCACACTTGACATGCCGCGGTAGCGGGGCAACTCAGGCCAATGCATGCTTGTGTTCACACTTGCAATTGCGCACCAGTTCATCACAGTTACAGATCACGCACCGGCCACTATTTTACCCTTTTGGCGGCCCCATCACGAAGAAGGCAGGCGAAGTGTTCACAAGGGCAATCTTGTTGTGGAACCTGCGACAAATCTTGTGGCTCTCCAAGAGGCCTCGGGAAACAGGGCATCTTCTCATCTTCAGACACTAAATGGCAATGTCAAGCTAATCTGTAAAGCCTGTAGACACTGTAGGCCTATACCGGGAGTAGCACTGTGAGCTTCTTTAGACCTCTCGCCGTCTACCCTGAATAATAGGACATCTCCAATCCATTGACGAGGCAGAACAGAATGAAGTTTTCAAAGCTCGTTTCTCGGAACAGGGGCTGCAAAACTTGTTACAGGAAAGCGACCGCTGCATACATCTGATGTGTGTATAAATGGGTGTCTATATGTGTGTATATATATAATTTATATAATTATGTATATATTTATGTATCTTCTCTCTCTCACTCTCTCACTCTGTTGCCTTTAGGTATCCCTGCCCGAGCTGTGCTTGGGGCGAGATGGAAGCAGGATACATCTATTGTTTATAGAAAAGATGTCTCATTCTGTATATGTATACAAGATTATACAAGGGTGAGATCATGCGTCGCGCACAGGGCAGTCGAGTATATCAGTATATCTTCGTCAATGCATGTAGGAAGCCAGTGATATTGGAGAGCAGCGGTGTCCATTATCTGCAAATTTGCATAAATCGACTGGCTTTCGCCAAAATACTTGGACACGTCAGGCCCTTCTCTTCAGGCGTTTCCTCTGCACCCCGCTTTCTTTTGCGCCCGCGCTGGCCGACAACACTCCACCCCTCTTCCTCCTTGCAAAGATGGTGCAGTAGTCTAAATCGTTAGCCAACAACATGAAAGCAGATGCCCAGCACAATAAATGCGGTCTCTCTCTCTCTCTCCATCATCATCTCCACATATCTCCACCAGTACCTAATTGTCTGCTTGTTTGCTTTCTGATACTTTACCGCGTTATCATCGGTATTGTCAAATATCGATAATATAGTCAGTCTATTAGTCTCTGCCGCACTTAAGCTGGCAACTCTGATTGCAGCATGCTGCCCACTGCAAAAGCGTCAAAAAGCCCGCGCTCCTCGATGCTATGGTTTTCCTGGGTCTCTCCTGAGTTTTGCTTTGCTTCCTTCTGGCCATTTTCTCCCCCAGATTCCTGACTCACCACTTCATTGCCTTCATTCTCTGCTTTCTCTACATTTTTTGCCTTCTGTGTCGCATTCTCTCCATCTTCCAGAGTCTTCGCATTCTCTGCATTCTGCGGATTTTCTGCTGCAGCTTGTTTCTCCTGTCTTTCCTGTTTCTTGCGCTGTTGGAAGCGGATCCAAATATCCAGCTCCAGGAGAAAAACTTCTGCTGTGACTGTAGCATCGTAGCCCCCTGAGTGCGTCGACCCAGGTGCGGTAGACTCATCACACCTTTGGACTTTCAGATTGCTTTGGCCTCGGAGCTGGGAACGAAGGGCGTCCAGGGTCAAACCGCCTGCACCAAGGCGGCACAACACAAACCAATGGAATCTCAACATGCTTAGAAAGGATATGAAATGAATAGAGGAAAAACAATGGCAAACAAAGAAGAAAGGCATGCTTCGGCTGAAAATGACTGAGGACTTGCATGGACAGTGCGCCAGTGCGCCTAAATGTTTGAAAACTTGTAGGCGCCCTTCTTGTGCCACGAAGCGAGTGTCAAAAGTCAAGGGGAATTGCTCCAGCCAGGCCTGGAGGCCATGAAAGCAGGAGAACATCTTTCCCACCATGGAAATCCATGGAACAGGAATCCCCACACGTGCATGAAACAAACCCAATTATCATGCATTTGATACTGCATAAAGCGTGCACATACTAACGTGTATATTGTATATATAATTGTATGTATACATATATACTACACATATCACATTCATTGTCCAAATATCTGTCTCTCTGTCTGGCCGTCTTATCTCGTCTCATCTCATCTTACATATCTTATCTTCTCCAGTCTGTTTAATATAACCGAAGCAAGTTTCTAAGTGAAACTTCCGACAATATGGACAAATGGAAAAGCAGAGGTGGGAAGAGTCAGAGAAGAGGAGAGAAGAAGAGAGAAGACCAGAGAAAGAGTCAGAAGAAAGAAGATGCAGGCGCGCGAAAAGGTAGAAAAGTCGCGATTCACTGTGTTTTTCCCGAATGCGTAGCAATGGTTCCCGTTTCACTCTGGGGGCCTGGGAGTTGAGGGTGTGTTCGCTCGACGTTGCGTTCACGGTCGCAACCGTCCGCGTGAGGACCGTATGGCCGTGCCTATGGTAAGTTCTGCTGAGGTGGTCATTTTTGGAGGTTTCAGACGTCTCGTTGTTTCGTTTCGCGTGGCAGGCGTGGCACTTCGTGACATTCAGACGTGTTTTGTGACGTGTCGAAAGTCGTTTTGTGTGGCAGGCGCAATACTTTTGCGGCGTTTTCAGAAGATGTGTTGCATTTTTCGTGGCAGGCGCACCACTTTAGACGTGTCCATCGTCATTTGTCGTGGCAGGCGCAGCACTTTAGACGTGTCGTGTTGCGTGTTTTTTGTCAATCGCATTGGCAGGGCTGCATCAAGTGGCGACAAGGTGCAAATTCCGTGGCATGCGTGGCATTTTGTGCGATGTGCTGAAAATTGACGGAAGCCTCGCACGAAACATCGATTTTGAGGTAGCAAACGTAGAGGTTCCTAAGAAAACTCGTAGGAAAACGTCGATTTTGAAGCTACAAAGTGTGAAAATGGGAGGAAGTCTCGCACGAAATGCTCGTTTTGGTGCTCCCACCTGTCTCGTCTCGAGTCTCTGGTTTCCTGTGGCCTCGCCGTGTCTATGGGGGAAGCTGCAAAACTTTCCTGTCCTTTTGTCATGTTGCCAACTGTGAAAATTGGAGGAAGTCTTGCACGAAATGCTTGTTTTGGTGCTCCCACGTGTCTCGTTTCGAGTCTCTGGTTTTCCTGTGGCTTCGCCGTGTCTATGGGGGAAGCTGGAAAACCTCTCCTATTCGAATGTGTCCAAGCAGGTTGTCATGTCGTTTTGCGTGGCAGGCGTGGCACTTTATGACATTCCAACCTGTTTGATAACATGTCGAAAATGTAAAAATTGAGGGAAGTCTCGTACGAAATGCCGATTTTTCTGCATCCACGTGTCTCGTCTCGAGTCTCTGGTTTTCCTGTGGCTTCGCCGTGTCTATGGGGGAAGCTGCAAAACCTATCCTTTTCGAAGGTTTCAAAGCAGGTTGTCATGTCGTTTTGCGTGGCAGGCGTGGCACTTCGTGACATTCCAACCTGTTTGATAACATGTCGAACATGTAAAGATTGGAGGAAGTCTCGTACGAAATGCTGATTTTTCAATGATTTTTCTGCATCCACATGTCTTGTCTCGAGTCTCTGGTTTTCCTGTGGCGTCGCCGTGTCTATGGGGGAAGCTCCGCACTCCACACTCTACACTTCACACTCCACACTCCACAATTTACACTTTAGACTCCACACTCTACACTTTGCACTCCGCACTTTACACTTTGCACTTTACACTCCTCACTCCTCACTTGAGACTTTACACTCCACACTTTACACTCCACACTCCCCACTCTACACTTTACACTCCACACTCCACACTCTACACTTTACACTCCACACTCCACACTCTACACTTTACACTCTACACTTTACACTCTACACTGCACACTCTACAATTTACACTCTACACTTCACACTCCACACTCTACACTTTACACTTTACACTCTACACTCCACACTTTACATTTTACACTCCAAACTCTACACTCCACACTCTACACTTTCCACTCCACGCTCCACACTCCACACTCTACACTTTACACTTTACACTCCACACTTTACACTTTACACTCCTCACTCCACACTCGACACTCTACACTTTACACTCCACACTCCACACTCTACACTTCACACTCTACGCTTTACACTCCACACTCCACACTCCACACTCCACACTCCACACTCCACACTTTACACTTTACACTCCACACTTTACACTTTACACTCCTGACTCCACACTTTACACTCCACACTCCTCACTTTACACTCCACACTCCACACTGCACTCCACACTCCACACTCCACACTCCACACTCTACACTTTCCACTCCACACTCCACACTCCACACTTTACACTCCACACTTTACACTCCTCACTCCACACTCTACACTCTACACTCCACACTCCACACTTTACACTCTACACTTTACACTCTACACTCCACACTCAACACTCTACACTTTCCACTCTACACTCTACACTCCACACTTTACATTTTTCACTCCACACTCTACACTCTACACTTTCCACTTTCCACTCCACACTCCACACTCCACACTCTACACTTTACACTCCACACTCCACACTTTACACTTTACACTCCTCACTCCACACTCCACACTCCATACTTTACACTCCACACTCCACACTTTATACTTTACACTCCCCACTCCACACTCCACACTTTACACTCCACACTCCTCACTTTACACTTTACACTCCACACTCCACACTCTCCACGTTCCACTCCACACTCCACACTCTACACTTTACACTCTACACTTTACACTCTACACTCCACACTCTACACTTTACACTCTACACTTTACACTCTACACTCCACACTCTACAATTTACACTCTAGACTCCACACTCCACACTCTACACTTTACACTCTACACTCTACACTCCACACTCCTCACTCTACACTTTACACTCCACACTCCACACTCTACACTTTACACCCCACACTCCACACTCTACACTTTACACTCTACACTTTACACTCTACATTCCACACTCTACAATATACACTCTACACTCCACTCCACACTCTACACTTTACACTCTACACTCTACACTCTACACTCCACACTTTACATTTTACACTCCAAACTCTACACTCCACACTCTACACTTTCCACTCCACACACCACACTCCACACTCTACACTTTAAACTTTACACTTCACACTTTACACTTTACACTCCTCACTCCACACTCGACACTCTACACTTTACACTCCACACTCCACACTCTACACTTTACACTCTACACTTTACACCCTACAATTTACAAACTCCACGCTCCTCACTCCACACTCCTCACTCCACACTCCACACTCGTCACTCTACACTCCACACTCCACACTCCGCACTTTGCACTTTACACTCCTCACTCCACACTCCACACTCTACACTTTACACTCCACACGCTACACTCCACACTTTACACTCCACACTCCACACTCTACACTTTACACTCCGCATCCTACACTTTACACACTCTACACTCCCCACTCCACACTTTACACTCCACACTTTACACTCCACACTTGACACTCCACACTCCGTACTTTACACGCCACACTCCACACTCTACACTTTCCACTCCACACTGCAGACTGGTAACAGGGGAAATATGTACAAGACTGTTCAAATAAACTATATATCCATATGTCTTGACATCTGTACCATTAACATACGTGTGAGCATTCGGGTTCGTGGGCTGCATCTTGTTCCAATGATTGGTGGCTCCGGAGGGTCGAAAAGTAGGCTCGCTAAAGCGGCAGGTGCGGAGCCATCTGGCCAGATGAGAGATGAAAAATTGCACGCCGATGTGGCGCGAAGCACATTTCGAAGTCAAAATGCACAAAACGCACCAGCTTCAGACCACTTTTTGAATTGAGATGTCGAAAAAGTGCACGCCGTTGTGGCGCGAAGCACGTTTCGAAGTCAAAATGTACAAAGCACACCATGTTCGGACCCCTTTTGGAAGTTGCGAAAAAGTGCACACCGTTGCGGCGCGAAGCACATTTCCAAGTCAAAATGTACAAAACACACCATGGAAAAAACATGTAAAAACGCCACATGCTCGGACCACTTTTGGACGTTCAGATGTCGTTTTGCGTGGCAGGCGCAGGGCGCAGGGGATTCTGCATGTTGTCAAAAGTGAACAAATCGTGAAGGTCTTGTAGCAATTTCAACTACAACCGCCACTACACTACACTGCACTACGCTACGCTACACCCCACGACACTACCACTACAACTACAACTACAACTACAACTACATTACGCTACACGACACTAATTACATTAGACTACGCTATTTACATTACATTACACTACGCTACACTCGGCTAACTACAACTACAGCTACGACTACAACTACACTACTTTACACTACACTACCCTACATTAGACTACACTAATATACATACATTGGACTACTCTAATTACATTGCATTACACTACACTACACTAAACTACATTACACTCCACTCCATCCACTACACTACACTCGATTGCACTACACTACACTACCCCACACACTACACTACAACTACAACAAAAATACATAACATTACACTACACTACACTGATTACACTACACTACACCACACACCACACCACACCACACTACACTCACTACAACTACAGCTACAACTACAACTACGCTACTTTACACCACACTACACTAGACTAGATTAGGCTACACTACATTACAATAGCTACAACTATGTACAGCTACAGCCACAACTACAACTACAACTACGTTACTTTCCACTACACTAGACTACCCTACACTACCCTACATTACATTACACTACACTCATTACTCATTGCACCACCACAAATGCAACTGCAACTGCACTCAAAAATTACACTACACCACAACTACAACTCCATTACACTACAACTACAACTACAGCTGCACTACACCACACTACATCCAGCAGTTGTGGGTGAGGCGACCGACCAGGTGACCACTGCAACCATTGTAACCACTCCAAAAAACACAACTCCAACCACCTTTCAGTCCATCAGTGGATTCGCTCTGCCATCCGTGATTCACAACAACCAACCTCTCCCATAGTTTCCTATTTTTGAAACTTCCGCCACCGCCTTGTGCGGTACTACTGGTATAGTCTATTCTCCTCCCCTCCCGTCTGGTCTGGTGTGGTCTATCTATCTCTGCCTCTGTGTGTTATATAAATATAGTAGGTATCCATGTTTGTGTGTGCGAGAGAACATACATCGGCACTAATTTCCACAGACATGCACAGCAACAGTTACTCGGAATCGCCTTCCCAAAGTCCTGGATGTCCTGTGGTACGTCAGCAATGAACTTGTCATACAAGTGAAGCAAATCAAACCTCAGCGAACTCAATCAACTCCTTGGCAATGGTCTGCAACTTAGACAAAGTCTGTCAAACACAAGCAACGCAAGCCACATGATGGCAAGGGCAAGGTCAACGTGATTCAAAAATGCCTCAAGTCACTAAGTATAGGTTAGTATCGGTCAGTATGGGTAGATATAGGTAAGCAGGGAAAGCATGGTATGATAAGCCGATAAGCTATGGAGGTCCGGAACTCCGTCACAGCTGGAAATGGAAACCAAGTGACAGGCCATTGTGGACAACCAAGGGCACTTGTGCCTTGCGCAGTGCTGCCAAGATGTGCGTTGCGGTTGGCGAACCAGTTGAGCTCTTGGCATCCAACTTCATCCTCAGGGCTGTCATCGGCTGTCCGACATGTGTTCTTTCTGCATATCTGACCGTCTGGCCTGCTTTTCAAACGCTGCAAATTCGCTGAATTTACTGTGCAAACCACACATATTCAAAGCCCTGTCACCTCTTGTACGGACATGCCTTTTCCAGAAAAACGTTGAAATCCTGAGTCGGGAGCGCAGTAAACTATCTGAAAACTTCCTCCAAAAAAGGACAAGATTTGCAGGCATGGACACTTTGACGTGGGAAAAGGTGAAGATCCATCCATGACTTTGCTCTTGTTTGGACCTTTCTAATCCTTTCTATACAGTCCATACATGTAGCAGCCAAGAATCGAAGCCATGGGCACGTAGAAAGCGCAAGGATTGTAAATCCACTGTGAAAATACGCTGCTCTTGTGGCCAGAGGTCGAACTGATGCGTCCCTGACTATGCAAACATCTCAAGAGACTTTACAGACTGTAGGGAATCGGTGACTTGCCGCAGTCTACATCTCATGTTCGATTGACTCCGTGCTATCGCTTCAAAAAAGTTGAGAGGGAAATTGATGAGGAAATCGTGGCTCATCTTTACAGTATAGTACGTTTTTTGCTTCCAAACTTGGAGGGAGCGGACAAAGTCGCCACGGATTATCCAAAAGTGTCACCCTGGCCACGGATTATGTTCGTTGTTTTCGTTTTCTCATCCCTGGCCATTGTCAAAGTGCCGAGCGACGTAGCTCCCACGTAGCGGTGTCACGCCGAAACTGCACACAGCAGAGCCCAAGCTGAAGGGCTAGAAACTTTGGCACGCCTGCAGCAGAAAAGCACTGAAAACAAGTCAACATGGAGAAGTTGAAAAGCCTGCTCCGCCTCCGCTCCACCACTTTGAGGTTTCTCCAAAATCTATATATATATATAAATAATAATCCTGGCTGAGCTGCTCTCTGCACACTTTGCAAAGTAGTCCTCGAAAGTCAAGGCCGAACGCTGAAGTTTAGTATCCAAGAACAGTCCGGAGAACTCCAAATCCAAGGCTACTAAGTCCTTGCATTGCAAGTTCGAGGCAGGCAAGAACTGAGCTGGGAATCCAACTCTCAAGTGGTCCCTAGTGTCGCACTGGTGTAGGATAAGTCAAGTCATAACTCGGCATATTCACGAGTACTTGTTGCTAGTAGCTTTGTTGTCAGCGTATGTGAATCAAGCACAACTTTTGCTGCTTTCTTCTCTCCAGAACCCTTCTTTTGTTGAAAGCAATTGAAGGATTGGGATGCTCAATCAAGAACGTTTATATATTTGTTGTAGCATTGCGCCTGACCCAAGGAGGCAGCCGAATGACTCTCGTAGACATTACGGAGCTCTGCAATTCCTTCCTATGCTTCCACCACCATGGTGCGATGCAAGTGAAGTTCCAATCAATTGCCATCTTATATATAATATCTTATATATACTTTCATATACTTTCCACCTACAGCCATATAAATTGTCACATAACGCTACCTCAAGGCTGAGCAGCTGCCACTTCAATGTCAGAGATGCAGCGAGATACAGCGGCTCTCTGGTCTGCCATGGCGCCTTGCCCTTGCAACTCTTGGTATCTCTTGGTTAGCAGAAGGATGCTGATAGATTGATAGTAATTGATTGATACTCCGATGAGTTTCGCTCAAACCTCTCCCTCTCTCATCCTCTCTCTGAGAACTACGCTATACTACACTGCAAGGCAATATCAAATGAATATGCCGGGTATGCCGTTACCGCTTGTGTTTTGAGCTTTGGTTCCTCCGCCACATTCGATTTCTTGCAAGAAATTGAAGCAGTGGGGCTGCTTTTGATCTTCGCCATGTCTTACAAAAACAGGCTCCCCGATCGAGACCTTTGGTGTGACCAAATTGTTCTGCATGCTTCTCACCTGCCCTTTCACGCTAAGAGCATTGAACCAGAATGGAGCGGCAAGTCTTAACAGAGAGACAGAGATTGGGATATATGCAAAATGATTCCATTGCAGCAAACAAAAGAATCAAAAGACTCTTCAGCGGCTCTGCGATGTCAATGTTTGCAGAATAGCTATGGGAGAACAACAGGCGGAGAGTCTGTCTGTAAAAGATCCAGCACGTTGCTGCCAGAAATTCTATCTGCTGCTACGAACCCAATCCCAGTCCTTTTGGAAGAGTGGTGCGCGAAAGAAGTCAGCAAAGCGATCCAACCCCTGCAACAATCGAAAGGCGCGGTTGCAGAAATTTCACTCGGGACGGTGCTGACCAAGTGTAACAAGACGATCACAATTCGACAATTCCAAAGGATTCCAAAGGGCAAAACATCGTCGCTTTAGTCTTTTCACGGCGCGCCAAGCCACGGAGGAGTACTCGCGCGGCCCAGTGAGCACATTTGCGACAGCTCCGGTTGGCAAATGTAGCTCAGTCAATTGCAATGAGTAAACAATGGACAAAGCAGTCGTGTCCCGGCGGTGTGCATCTCCCTTTGCATTCTTGTCACCCTTGTTCTAGATTTATAATAAGAACTTGACTTGCCATAACACCAGCCCGCACGAATGTTTATATACATGCACACAAACACCTTGATTTAAATGCCTGTATGCAAATAGGTTCACTCAATACGACGTTGCATCCCTCTGCATGCAGCATACCATATCACTCAATGTGTAGTGAAGGGCAGGACATGCAATCCAGACAACAAAATCCAATACCACCCCGCGATAGGATATGATTCGAAATCAAACAACACTAGACTTCGCTGCCATGTTCCATTTTTTGCCAATGATGTATCCCAAGACACACATGTACGCAATCAAACTACATACAGTACACACTCACAAAAGTACAACTTCTTCCTCTTGCTGTCGGGTGGTATGCATCCCTCACATTTATCGCATCACTCCTGCGCATGCTTGTTTGATCACTGATACACCTGAATAACGTTATTTCACACTGACAAACCAAGATAACAAAGTTTGCCTACATTGCATTGCATACAAAGACACAAAACAATACAAAACACGCATTGTCAATGGACACGGAGACATGCCACTTGAACTGTCTATGTATGAAGTGTGAGCGTGTGTGTGCGTGTGTGTGTGTGTGTTTGAAAGTGTGTAAGTGTGTGTGTGTGTGTGTCTGTTCACTTCAGTGAGGAACACGACGTGCTTTGCACCTTGCCGCAGCCGTGACCGAGAGCATATTGTTGGGACTCTTTGCTCATGTTCATGGAGTTCTTATGAAATCATGATCCGTATACAGCATTTGGATACTCTAAACTGCCCACTGCACCCATACTGTCCACAAGAATGGGCTGCAAATGCTGCTCTCCAGCAGCTGTCTCACATGAGTAGAGAGCAGCCAAAGTTCCGGTTCCAAGCCCGGCGTCCCGGCGAAACATTGCCGAATGATGTTGAATGATTTGAGGAAACTGGCTTGTATGATGTATGTATGATGTAAATGATGTAAACATAATGCGCGATGATATGCAACAAGTACAGCAGGATTGTATACCGCTGATTTGGCTGGTCCATTTGCTCCAGAAATGTGTCTCAATGTTCGCCCTCGACTTCCGGTAAATACAGGTGATGATTGACTGGCCGCGCAGGCTGGTGGGAAAAAAGGCAGTTGGAAGTCTTGATAATGTTTTCAAGAATTCCATGGCTCTTCGTGATTCTCTGTGACTCTAGAAACTTTGCCATTATTTCAGGCTACGTCGCCAATGCAGGTTCCAACTGCCCCAGAACTGAGCGGCTCTTTTTCTGCCAAGCTCAGGCAACCAAGCCCGCGAAATTACTGCTAGTGCTCAACAACATCCACGCCTTCTGGAAACATGCCTTAATGCTAGTCGGGCAGGGTAGTTTACAACTGATGCATAGTGTCGTGGCGGTTGATCATCAGATTTTGGTTGTGATGATTGTGCTCGATCATTGTGCTGCACACTAGCCGGCCAAAACTGCCTACTAAAAGTCCCAGGTCATGAAGCGCCATGCGTCATTGATGCTGGCCGCCAGGGCATGCTCGAAACACTGAAGGATGACAGACAACACAGCAATGATTCACATGCATTTGCAAGCACATTGATATGATGTAATGCGCATACAACTTGACATGGGAATTGAGAGTGGCTCGAGCTAGGCCAGTGAAAGCAATGCGGGAGTGTTTGGGAGCATGTCATGGTTTCAAACTTGTTGAATCTTCCTGGCCATCCTTCGCAAAAACTTGCAAAACTGCGCCATCGAAAATAGCGCTTACAGTGGAATGCGCACCCCGTCACCTCTGGAGAAAGGGCCACGCCTCACTCATACCTGCATCACAACAGCAGGGTCTGCACAGCATGAGCCACGAGCGAGCCTAATTTAGTCTGATTATGGGCACCTCTGCATGTTACATTGGCGGGAACATTTTGGCATTCTTCTGCTTTGACAACCCAACCAGCTTGACTTCTCTACCAGCTTTACTTGTTGGTGGGATCAGGGCAGGTTCAAACACAGTGAAAAGAGGAAACCCGTGTCGTGGGGCAGAACACATCTCCGGAAGAATTGAGATTACGCCGATCTGTTGGACAGTGCAATGGTGTTTCCTACCTTTCTTGCTGTTTTAGCGTTCCCTTTGCAATACTCGGTAAGACTATGTAAGATTTGCAAATTGATGCAAATAGCATCTTCCACCACCACCTGCCTAATCTTTGCGTTGCCGCACTGCTTGGCAATGGCTTTCCAACTTCCTTGAATGGAGAGGTAAATCCATGATGTTCAGGAAACGGCTGTTACTTGATACAGTTCACAACGCAAGAAGACAAGCTCTCCCCTGCGCCTTCTTTTAGGTGCACTACACACTTCAAATAGAAATGTGCACATCTTGCAATGTCAAGAACGAAGTGGCACGGTCAACAAGCCTAAATCAGCACCAAATGACATGGGTTGGGTCAAGGTGGTCAATTCTTGGGTCTATTACTGTCGATTACAGTCATTTGAATTCAATTCCGTCAACTTGTCTGCTGATGCTTTCCATTGCTTTCAGCCTCAACCGCTTCGGTACTCGGTCCCAGCCAAGGCACCGTGCCCAGGGTAATAACCTCACTAGCAATCATGCGAAACTTATCGAAACTTTAGGCAGAGAGTTGGAGGTTGGAAAGAAGCACATCACATATATATCCTTTGCTTATCCGTTGCATATCCGACGTATTCCCTGCATGATGGGACGGCTGGGAGCAGCTTCACATAGTGGGAAGAGAGGATAGATGAAAAGGAGAAGCTGCAAAAGCTGTGACAAGCTGATACGAGCCGTGAAATGAAACCCTGATAATATTTGGAGACTGCAGAGAAGGCCACCTTGATTTACGTGGGCAAATGTATATTGGTACTATTCAAAAACGTGTACGAACATCCAGGCAGGCAATATTAATGATGGGCCTTCTGAACAGAAACAAAGTTCCCTTGCCAAGGAACTTGCTTTTGGCCAATCGACGTCCCTGACTCTGAACCCAGGCAGGGATGGAGCCGCCCAGGTTGGTTTGTGACACTGCAGTGATTTCTACACCTGGACCGCGGCTCGTGTCACGGCAACTGATCTCAGCTCAAGTGACTGAACACAAATTTTTAAAGGTGTCATGTATATAATATAATCATATAACTTAAAAAGACAAATCTCATATAGAATATGCATGCAAAATCATGCAAATGAGTTCTGCAAGAATGATACTTCAGACGTTGCATCGTCAGATAAACACACTACTTGGGAACTGCTACGGCATATACGAAGTTAGACGACGTGTTGGCAACAAAGGCCCTTCTGAGAAGTTTGTCTTTCTTCTTGTCTACTTCATGTGCAACGCCCTGTGGGCAGATGCAATTGCCGATGGGATCTGAAAATACAGTCAAGTTGCTGCCGTCTGACGTGACGCAAATGAGATAGCCAGAGACGTGCGTAAAAGCCCGAATGCGCTGAGACGTTTCAGGTCGCCTTGGAACATAACATTGTAACATGGTTCCAAATTCAAACACCAGCATGCAAAACAAGCCCCTGACACTGTGCCCAGCAACCTGTGCATATATATATATATATATATATACATTTATATACTATGAAACCAAATGTGACAAAGTGATACAAAGCGGAGGTTCGCGCGGAATGCCCGGAAGAATGCCAGGTCACAAGCTATTGTCCAACCTGGACTGCAAAAGTATGGCCAGCCCACCGTCATCCAGAGAGACCTGGTTGACTCATGTTGACTCAAGAGGACCGAGGGCACAGAAACCCCAGGGCAGATTTGAAAAGGTACGTCGGACACTAAACAAATCAAGAATCAAAGCCCTTCAGCAAAAATTGAGTGCTTCCAGCTGCTAGAACCGACGCTGGCCTTCCAACGATCCTGCAGAACGTCTCGATCTGTCAACATACCAGGTGCAGGCATCACGCAGTAGACGATGTCCTGGCAAACTGCAACGACTTAAGTGTGCAAGTTGTCAATTATACAAAGCATCTGTTGGTTGCAACGCAAAGCAGCTAGCAGCTGCACACCGTGTTTTGAAATAATCAAGCACCTGCAGCACTGCCCGGCCTGCTGAACCGGTCCATTGACCGCCGAGACAACCTCAAAGGTCCTGAAATTCCCTCCATCCCAACGGAGACGTTCTTCCGGATTGTGCCTAAACTCCACAAGAAGATCAAGAAGAAGAACGCATTCAGTGAAAGAGGCAAGCGGAAGGTCAGTCGGGCAAGCCAGTGAAAAATATTCAGCACAGCGAATGCAATTGCTGTCACATCATGTTAATATGCATGAAAACAACTTAGACAAGGAATGCCATGGAATCCTTCAAGTCTGCTGACTCTGCTGTGCCGTGTTCCTTTGAACCCGCGAGGCTGAGTCTCCAGGCAGGGCTTCCACGACCTCCGTCACAGTGACTCCTTCCACCAAAACTGTGGAACAGCCAATGTCCTAAGCTGTTTGCACACATTGTGCCATAAAACACCTGCCCAAGAGAATAAAATGAATTGGACTGCCTGGATATATAAGTCAAGCAGGAATTTTGTAGCACACCCCTGAAAAGCAGTATGTTGGAGGGACGTGAAATGGCATAAATCCTAAGGGCTCAATGTGAAAAAGCTGATTGGAAACACTAAGTCTTCTGAGTCATTCAAGAAGGAGGGGCTTACAATACGCCTCCTGGCACCAAGGTTGATACCACACACAAGGAAACAGTTAACCTTAGACCTCCAAAATATATTTATAGGTATCTCAACCTCAAACAGCCAGTAAGCGCACACACTGTTTTGCTTGAGCCATAAGACGTCAGTTACTATACACATACCACAGGGCACAACTTTCCATGGGAGGTATAGAGTACTAGTTATTAGCATCATGTAAAAACACCCCCCGTATACCGTAGCCGCTTGGCGGCTTTGGTATATCTGTGCCTGGTATGCGCCGCCGCAGTTCGACCTAAGTGGACAAGAAGATACATAACAAAGTCACTCATGTCGAATGTATGAGGCTCGGATGCATTGGATGTCAAGGCTTGCAACGATGTTGACAGCGTCAGGTCGTATGCTGCCGGAGATTGGCACGATGTTGCACACAGCATGGCCGTGGCTCCCGCCAGGCACCTTCAAATGAATGTAGGAACATTACCATTCCTTTTGACTCCACTCGAACGGTACCATGGCAGGAAAAAACTGTACAGCCATGAAATTGGTGTGAATTAATTTGAACTCTTGCCTTGAACATCCAATCATCGGCTTGAGAAGTTATTGAAGTAAAATTTAATTTATTCAAACTGTGCGGAAATATGTGCATTTGAAGTTCACTTGAATGGGTTGATGCATAATGTGCGTCAAAGCTTTGGTTTGTTCAATGGGTGCGATGCCTGCCACGTTTGTCATAGACAGGCATGCCTCCCGGCAAGCAAATTTGAAAAGAAAGATATGACCTAAGCGTCAATGCGAGTCATCCCATAGTTCAGGTCCAGCGCCAGTACCAGCCTCGCTGTTGATTCCAGTACCACGTGTAGCGGTAGCCCTGAACCCAGTAGGAATCTCCTTCAAAGTCACCGTAGGCCACACCTCCCGGTGGGCTTCTGCCTTGCTTGCCCTTCCCCTTCTGCTGCCCCTTTCCTTTGGTCTGTCCTCCACCTTTGTGATGTCCTTTTCCACCACCGCCTTGGCCGTAAGGACCGCCGCGAGCAGGCTTGCCAAGATTTGGCTCAAATTGCTCGTGATGGGGTCGTTCATGTTCAGGTCGGCTGATGGCTGCACTTGCATGAGGAAGACTGACCTCCCGGTCGTCGCCGATGGTTTCAGACTCCTTGTGCGTCTGTTGGGAGGCAAAGTTCGACCATTGCAGCTTGCTGAACTCCACCAATTCCTTCGCGATCTCCTTGGCATCTGAAGCATCAGGCACAAAGTCACGATTGCCCCATCCATAAACAATGGGTAGAGGCCTTTGCCTTGGCTTGATGAACTTCGCCACATAGACTGCGAATTGGCCAATGTCGAGAAAGACGCCCCGATGCGACACAAACACCTCGGTGTGAAGATCCAAGGGTTGGTCGGGCTCCCGCTCCGACGATGGCACAAAGATCAACTTGGTGGCCATCTCAAGCTTTTCGCCAAGAACCTGAGCTTTGGTGCGCTCAATGGTCGGGCTCACGCAGCCAGCCAAACGCTCAATGAAGAGCAAGGCCTCCGGCACCAAGTTTTGATTCGCCGCATTGAACTGAAAGAACGGGTCGCGGACGAGTCGGTCAACAAGGTCCTTGAAGCCCCTTTTCTTGAAAGATCTGACGTAGTTTTTGGCCATGTCTCTCAAGTTGCCATAGGTGCTTCTGGTCCGGACGGCTGTCGAAGAAGATGATGATCCCTTCTCCGGCTGCCTGGCTACTCTGCCTCTTCGTGGGTGGTTGAAGATCACCTTGTCCATGGAGAATGGCACTCCTCTGGTACGGGCCATCGCCTCCCGGCGGGCAACTTCCGTGGCGATGTTGGCATCGGTCACGGGTTCCATCTGCCGGAAGCAGCGCGGGCATTTCAAATGCCCATCCATCATCAGATATCCGCAGATCGGATGGCTACAGCGCACCTGAGGCGTGTCTTGGATCTGGTTGTAGGAGATGTCCTTGAATTGCAACTCAAATCCGTGTCGACCTTGCCCTCGGCTCCAATTTCCACCACCGGGTCCATTCCGTCCACGACGTTGGAAGCCACATGCATCCGTACTTGTCATGGCGGCCATCTTTCCAACGGTGTAGCCGGACACCAGCTGAGAACCTGATGCCGGCTCACCCTCCCGGGTGGCAGTGCTCTTTTCGACCTCAATGTCTTCACGCCTGGAAAAGGGGAGGAGCTTGCCAAACTCAATGCGCTCTTTGATGCCTTCAAAGTTCAACTGGGCATTTTCCATCAACATCTCCATGCGGCTCATGAGAACATCCGTCGGATCAAACTCGGCCTTGGCCTCCTTGAGGACTTCCTGGTAAGCCTTCCGATGGTTGACATAAGCCCTGTTGATATAGAAAAATTCGCCCGAACGCATATCAAAGGCGTTGATCATCGGCTGGTTCGAGATCCAGTCTGGCGACAGGATGGCCTCGTCAGTCGCGAAAAGTTTGTAGCCCATTTGCATCATGAGCTCCATGTCGAACGCGATGGCGATCGGCCTCCCGGCCCGCGTACCTTGCAACTTTTTCATTTCCGCTTTCCAGGGCGGAGTGGAGTTGAAAAAGTTGTGGGCTCTGCCCGTTTTGTACGGGAATCCGCCAGGGATCAGGCCGTACTTGATGATGGAATTGAAGGCGGCTTGGTCACAGGTGTGATACACCACTCTGGGGAACTTGTGCCATACAGGCGAGCCTTCCGGCATCGCGGAGAAAGCGGGGTGGACCGATGGGTCGTCAATCTTGGTCTGGTCGAAGTTCTCATCAAAAGTGAACATCGTTTTGATCATGCTTGACATCCCCCCTTGCTCCACGAGAAAGGCCCGATGACCCTGAATGGCCCTGATCCTCACTGGCGTCCACCTGAGCTTTCCGGACGACAAGCCGTTCACCTGGACTCTGAAGCGACGCATCGGAGAGTTGCGCACAACCATCAAAACTTCTTCTTCTCGAAGGTGCGCAAAATCTCCTTGGAGATGCCTCACCAATGCCTTGAAGTCCATTGACAAATCAGTCCTCCGAATCTCAGGTGATGGCCTCCTGTGAAACATTCGATGGCCACGGAGGTAGTCGGACATAGCATGGGAAATTGATCCAAGCCTTCCGTAGTCCACCTTGCGCACAGGGACTCCTGCCATGTTGTCCGGCTCAATCCAAACCAGATCCTGTGCTGAGGCAAATTTCGACGTGTCAAACTGCTCAGCACTTGGCACATGTCCCTCATCCACAACCTTCAATCTCTTTGGCATGGCCTTCTTCTTGGGCTTGAGCTTGGAAGTCGGGTCAGGAGGCGTGGCTCCCGCCGACGCAGCTGCAGTTGTGTCCGTTCGCCATGTCTTTGCAGATGAGGTGCTCTGAGCCATCTCAGTCTTCCACGTCTTTGCCGATGACGAGCTCTGGGCCATCTCCGTCTTCCAGGTCTTCGCTGATGCCGTACTCTGGACCATCTTGTTGCCCTGATCATCAACATCCATGGGCTCCGGGTCCCCCCGTGCATCAGACTTCGAGGCCTGCATAGAAGAGACCTTGTCGATCACGGCCATGTCATCATCGTCATCATCATCGATCGGCTCGGCCTGCCCCTCCTCAGCGTCGTGGAACTCCTCTTCATCGACAATCTCCACCGAAGCCACCGTCTCGAGGTCGTCAAGGTCCAGCTCCTTTTCCTCTTCATGTACTGGGTCACTGGCCACGACTCCCGGCGGGCGTTTGTCATCCTCGATGAGGTCCCACCCTTTGAAGTCCTCGTCTTCATCCTCGGCCGCATAGGTGGCATCTTGCCATTCTTGGCCGTGCTCCTCTGAAAGGCCTTTTCGCCTCGCCAAAATTCGATCATCCATAGTGAGGGCCTGAACTTTGACAGCCTCATCGTCCGAATCAGCGTTGTCATTGCGCATGGGTTCCAATGCCTGGTCCTCTTCAGGAATGTCTCGCATCCAGGACTCGACCTCCCGGTCGGCAGAGGCTGTGGCGCTCTCCTCAGCTTGAAGCACCCAGTTGAAAATCTCGACATCTGCATCCAACATGAGCTTCTCAGGATCGGGTCGCTGAGGAAGATCTTTTGGGGAGGATACATTCGAATCGATTTCAAGCTGGTACGCGGCCTTGAGGATGGTGAGGTTCGGGTAGTTCTTCTGCTCCTGGAGATCGTCGATTCTTGGGAGTGTTCTCAAGTGATCGTCGACGCTGATGAGCTTGAGGTAGGCAAGGTGGCAATCAGCGACGGCCTGGAGGAAGTTGGTGACATACTTCCGGTTGATGGCGTCGTCTTCCAAATGCACCTTGTCATATCTCACAGTTCTGGCAAGCATCAAGGTGGTGTTCAGAGTTTGAATACCATGGTCCTCTCGCAGTGCCCTGATGTGGACACGCATGGTCTCATTGTAGGCCGACGGGAGAGCAAAGATTTCCGCGTCAGCGTTCCCAACGACCACGATGTCCAGGATCCGGGGCTCATCACGTTTGAGCTGGCCCAGTTCGTTGACGGACCGCTCGACCCTTGCCTTTTGCCGCTCACACCAGTTGGCCGTAACCTCCCGGTCGGCAGCAGACTTGTTGTAGGCAGCCCTGTGGATCCAATGGACGCCTCTGTAACCCCCTTCGCCAAACACATCATTGCCGGCCCACCCCACGATGACCAACACCGGCAAAACCGGGCGACCATGTGCACGATTGGTGGACTCGATGTCATCGATGGCCTCGGGGATATACTGGACCATATTGTTCAAACCTTTGCCCCACAACATTTTGGTATATATGCCACGGATGTCTCCCCAGGGCTTCAAAAGATCGCCTCCGGAAAAACACGAAGCCTTCCCTGCGTTGGGGTCAGGTACCAGAGCAAGTGATGAGTCTGATACGATCAGCAGGTCGACCTCGCCTCCCGGCGGGTAGGGGCACAATACCAAAAACCCATCGGGCGTGTTCTTGTAGACCTCCGCGAGCGTGTCGTATGCCCCTTCAGCATTGCCACCACCCAGCATCGGCTCGACGATATTCGCCAGGGGTAGGCGGCATCCTTCCATCTCTCGCAAGAGCACCTGTGGGTCGTCCCAGGTCGCAACCGCAATGGCTGCCTTCAGGGTGTTGACCACACCTTCCCATTGGGTGATGCGCTCGAGGATGGCGGGCCTCCCGGCAACCGCACAGGCCTTGGCCATTTGGATTGCACGAGTCAACATGACGAAGACGGGAGAACAAAAGGGCGCGATGAGTGCACAGCAAGTTAGCTTGAGAGCGGGATGCTGTCGGGTAAGAGCTTTATGTATGGCGTCTGTCATGCGGAAAGTGTACTCCTCCGTTTTCTTGAGTGCAATACCTCTACCTGGAGCATGACGCCTGTTGCATGTGCATTGGAACTTCGATAATGCTTTACCGACTCCAGCATGGTTTGTGGCCACTGTCCAAGGTTTCTTCAACGGATCATTGTCTTGATTTACCATTCCAAGAGCACAACCATCGAAATGATATGCAATCATCCCATAATAGTTTAACAGCTTTGCAACTTTAGTCAATTTCCAATATCGACATTTTCGTGGCCACTCGGGTGCAATGTGTACTTCACAGTTCAACATCCGAAGAAACGATTTCAAGGAAATCCAAAGTCGGTCAAACTCTCTGACATGTTTCAATGCCTTTTCACGAGCACTGGGGTTTTTCATGTTGATATACGTCCATGGTGTACCCCCCGTGCACGGTAGGCTGATCCATATAAATGGTTTCACATCACCTTTGAAAGAGTTGACGTACTCTGCAATCCTCATTTGGTTTTCGACTTCGTTAAGATCAAATTCTTCAGTGAACTGTAGTACTTCACAACCTTCGGACCACTTTCGGTTGGTTTGGCTGAGTTTGGACTCGGGATGACAGCAAACTTCAACGATCAGTCTCTTGGTATCAGACTTGGCAGCGGGTCCCCCCGTGCTTGGTGCAGCGATAATTGGAGGTGTGATGGCCTCCGACGCCGACGCCAAAGCTTTCTGTGGGGAAACCTTCTTGGTGGGGGTCAATGCAAGAAGTTTGACAGCTAGTTTCCATTTCTCTGCATTAACAAATGGTTTCGTGAGAATGTCTGCAGCTTGGAGCATGCTTGGACCATGGACTAGCTTATACCACCTTCTTTTAAACTGTTCCTCCAGCCAAGATAGGTTAACTCGCTGTGTTTTGTCTGTATGTCGGAAAGTGGGCGATTTTCCGTTCTCAAGGATTCTAATGGTGGCCTGATTGTCCTCTACAAAAACACCTTTTATTGACCGTGGGGAAAACATTGAAATCATACATTCTCCCTCTTTCTCACGTCCTACGAACTCGTAGTCGGCGATGGCTTCACGGATTTCGATCGATTCGATGTTGTAGTCGGACTCATAGGGACCATAGACCCTGAAGAAAGTCTTGCCAGTCCACTCCCCGTTGATCGGGTAGTCAACTTTGACCTTCCAATTGTCCTGCATGAAGTCAACCATTCCGTCCTTTAGCATCACGGTGGTTCGAGCACATCCGATACGCTTAAGGTTAATGGGTGGCTTGGACATGTCAACGGGTGTGAACAAATGTGACCTTGGTTTTGTGTGGACTCGGATGAGCAATCTTCTACTTCTCATGAATTGCCAGTATTCCCCATTGGATTCTTTTTGGGTTTCAATGTCATGCCTTGGCAAACCTCCCGGTATGCTGTCTTTCGGTGCTCTCTCCCCCCCCGCGTTCTGGAGGTATGCCCACAAACCGGAGGAAGGTAGACCGACAGCTCTAAGGGATACGTTTGCACTGACAACTTCACTTTCGGTGCTTGACATTGCAACGGCAGTTTGTTTCTTACTGAATGCTGTGAGCGGGAAGTAAGTGTTGGGTCCAACTAGAACTAACAAACAACCACTGGTGGATCGATTGTCATACTCCCCTGCATGGTCTGCGTCAGCAAACAGCCAAAGCCTACATTCACTGACCTTATCCCCTATGAAAGCCCTTTGCTTGTGATCCATGGTGGAATTAATGTAACAAATGAGTCTGTGCAGTGCCTTTTCGCATTCTGCACTCCATTTTGTCACACGAGCTGCTAGGCCTTGGACGGCGCGCAGCAAGTCGAATCGTGCCATCCTGGCTGCAAATAGCACTTTCATAAGGACCCTTGCGGCTATTGGAGCCAATACGCCCTTGGTTTCCTTCTCATCGGCAATGGGCCGTGCAATTCTTTCTTCATGAAATGGTGTGGAAACTTGTTTCAAAGGCTTGGCATCCCTGCCAGCAAGTGAAATGTAACGTTCAACACATGATTTGAGGAAAGGCTCCATATCATATGTGAATGTAGTCACAGGCTTTTGCATGCAGGGTTGGTTCTCATACAGTTGGTCCATATAGGAAAAACCTTCCGCTCTAGCTTTCTTTTTGGCTCCGGACTTGTCCCTCTTGATGGTGGCCATGGCAGCCTTTGGATCTTTGCATGATGTTGGGAAGAAGTATGTTGTGCCAACCCATGAATCATTTAGACTACCCCCTTTGTTCACGTTGGATCCGATTCCAATAGTGTCCCATTGCTCAACTTCACTTCCATTGTTGTTACATGGGATTGCATTCGTGAATCTAAATGGGGCTAGTTGGCATGACTTAACCACTTCTTCATCGGGCAAAAATAGTTTCTTCCTTGGCTGCACATGGTGTCTCATGTAAACATCGTTGACGGTGTCGAGCTCCCAGAAATCCTGAGTCCTGTGGCACGCGGCGGCGGCAGGCGCGGCCGGATCGGCCAGTGACTTGTCAAAGACATGAGCATAAGGGTGATCCTCGACCTTGAGCTTTACGTTGTGTTGAGCTACATGGTCGCATCCAAGATATCTATTGACTTCCCCGGGAGTGTCCATGTCAATCTTTGATGCAATCAAACTCCATCTCTTTGACATGTTTTCTTTGGGACCGGACATCTTAAAATCGTCAACATACACGACAAGCAACAATTTGAGCTCTGGATGGAAAAACACCGAAGGCCACCCTTCCGGGTCTGGCATGATAAAGCCCACTAGTTCCAACATGGCTTCACAGTACTGTTCCCAGAGTCCCCCCGAGTCGGGGTGACCGTAAAGAGCGATGCGAAGCAATACAACTGGTCTAATGAACTTACCATGCCACTCTTTGGGCCATCGATCGGGTGGCAGTTCCACCCACGTCTCCACGCCCTTCCATAAGGCTTGAGTGTAAGCTTGTACTCCATCATTTTGTTGGGTTATGAATCCCGGTTGAGCTCCGTAGGCATCTACTGCTTTGCCAGCTTCCATTGTGGCAGGCGAAGACCCTAATTCCGAGAACAGGGCAACATCGGCACTTTCGTCCTTTACATTGTTGCCTTGAAATACTGTTCTTCCTTTGAATTTTCGGAGTTTATCTCCTTCGGGTAATTCACTTCCCTTTTCAACGCAAATCTCAAAGACCTTTCCTACATGGACCTTCTTCCCAGTCTTCTTGGCCTTGTCGGCAATGACCTTCCATTCGGCCACTGTTTCATATTGCCAGGCCTTCTTCTTTACCAGTTTATCCCATTCTACATCTAAGGCTTGCTGGGCTTTGGGATTGGCTCTAATTTCCTTTTTCCCCACTGGCCTAGCCACCAAAGTGTTAACGGCTTTCTCCCCAGATTGGATTCCAAGCCTAATACACTTAACTCGATGCTTTTGAGGGTTCATCTGGCAAACAGGCATGGCTGGGATGAATTCGTAGGATAAACTTTCATCCAATTCATTTGGTGATTCCTTGAGAGTTCCGATCATGGGTACAGCTTTCACTCTTCTGGCGCGTTTCTTTTCCTTTTCTTCCAGGGCTAATTTCCGTTGCTCATCTGCAATCGATGCTCTTCTTTCTTTTTGAGACATTGCTTGCCAAACAAACGGAGGGATGTCCTTTGGTTTGCTTGAATTCTTGTACTTTCTTGCTTTAAACCCACCTGCGTCATAGAATGAGGGGTCATTAGTCTTGATTCTTTCGAGTTCCCCTGCAATCGGATTGATTACTTCGACTTCGGCATCAGGTACAGCTCCTCTGATGGGCTCGTCCACACGGTTCCTCAGGTCGATCGGCTCTTTTGAGAATATGGTAACAATTACTTCATGAACCTCAATGTCCTTTTCAAGGTCTTCGACCGGAGGATCAATCTTCAAGTTTTCTTCGTGGACATGCCATGATTCATCATCTTTAATGCATGTTGTTCGAAATGGAAAATCGG